CGGGAAGGTGAGCATCATAGAATGCCAATTTACTAGAAGAAAGTATTCTTGTGTTGAGGGAGTCCACCCTTGTTTTAGACTTACTTTTCTTACCTTTATCCCTTACTAGGGTGCAGAAAAAGCAAGAGCTCTGGGGGTGTAGTAGTTAAGCTTGGTCAGCTAACCGCAAGGCCAACGGTTCAAAACCACCATTCATTCTGTTGGAGAAAGAGGAGGTTTTCTACTCCTGCAAAGAATTACAGTCTTGTAAACTCTCAGGGGAATGTCTACACTGTCTTATAGGGTTGCTATGAGTCGACATTGACCCTATGGCAGTGAAGTTGGTTTGGGTTTTATAGTGCAGAAAAAAGGAGCCCTTGTGGCTCAGTGAGTCTAGTATTGGGTGACTAATTCTATGGTTGGAATTCAGCCTCACTAGCTGCTCTGCAGGGGAAAAAATGAAGCTGTTTGCTCCCATCAGGATCTGTGGTCTTGGCAGCCTTAAGGGTCAGGTGTACTTCGTCCTATAGCATCAGCAGGAGTTGGAAACAGCCGACTGCAATGGGTTTTTATGGTGTAGAAGGGATGCATTATGTTTTACTTTATCTCCCACATCTTTTCTGAACATTTTTCCAGACGGATTTTCAGTCTTAAGTTTGGCTCAAATAACAGTCCAGAAAGTTTTCCTTGTTCAGACCTGATTACAGGTTGTATTTTATTTAAAGAAGGAAAAAGACTCAGAGAGACGAGGGGAAAGGGCCTTAATTTTGGTTGGTTCAGGGAAAATTGGCCTTTAGTGCTTCTTTTATAAGCGGCTCCTCCGTGTTCTCTTTCTCTTGACCCCAGGAACCTTTCCCCACTGTCTGGAATGTGTTCTCTTTCCATCACCACCTTCTTCCTCCCTATCCTGTGTGCCGTTCTCAGGGCCCTGCCACGTGCCCCTGTGTACAAAGCGCACAAACACTGTTAGCCACTCTCCTATCAGCCTGCTGAGACCTTGTGCCTTTCTCCTCTCAGGCAGGTCCCCAGAACTGCCACGTAGACCCGATTCTCTTACCACACAATGAGAATATTCCGTTTGTGATTTTCCTCATCGGTCAGAATAGTTGGTCAGGTCCGGCCCCGCCGTCTGGCTTTTCTGTAACTGCTCCGTCTGTGGAGTGACTGTGTTCACCTCTTCCTTTCTGCCTGCCCCAGGGGAGTAGATCCAGGTTGCGTCAGCCCAAGCCCACGCTCTCTCTGGCCCTGCAAGAGCAGTGGCCCTTAGGCTGGCGCCTTATGCAGCCCCTTCATCAGCTGAGGCCTCTGTAGTCAGTGCCTGGTGCCCCGTCCAGCACACAGAGGGAAAGGGGACAGTCCAGCAGCTCTGAGACCTGATGTCTTGTGTGCTGGCTGCATGTAGGCCCTGAAGGTCTACAGTCCTCTCTGTGGGTGAGAGAGACACTAAATCCAATATCAGATTCTCAGTCATTTTCAGGAGATACAGGGAAGATGAACTGTATTGAATCAATGGAGTTGTTAAACGTTGATTTAACCTTCAAAACAGTTTCCTTATCTATCCTTTTCATATGAATCACCACTCTCCCCTTGGTTCATTTCCTTGTGTATTTATCCAGTGGGCAGACAGTAAGCACTTGTTATGTGCTAGGCGTTGGGAATTCATGGTGAGCAATGTGGCGAAGTCCTCGGTGCTGTAAACCTCGTGGCATTGCCTAGGCCGTTGCCACGTGCCCCTACTTGTCTCTTAGCCTCCCAGTGTAGCCCACCTTCTCCGGGGCCTCCCAGGGCCGCCCTACCTCACATTAGCTTGTCTCCCCCTTCATCCTCAGCCTCCTGGGCATCACCCATGTGGTGTAGTTCATCTGTTGCCTTACACGTCCTTTCCCCGACCTTTCTGCCCTCTGTCACCTCCCCTCATAGTGGAGGACAAACCCTCTCTCCTTGACTCCCCTTTGGCACCTCACCGGAGTCCCTCATGCTCCGGGCCAGCTTGTCCATTAGGCACAGGGCCCAGGGCCTGCAGTAGTATGAGGAGCCCATTAGAAGGTCTCCATTTTATTTGAAGTCCAGAAGGAACAAAAAAACAAAGGCTCTAGTCTGAATGATAACTCCTTCTATATCAACCCAGTGGTCAATATAACCTTTAAATATATATTTTCTTAGGCTGCAAAGGAAAAATGCATGGGCAGCCCTGCTCATGGTGGCTTACAGCCCTGGAACAATGTGCATGCTGTATCATTGGGATGGCTGAGCCCCACTGGGATGCGGGGACTGGCCATCCCAGAGGGCAGGCAGGGCCCTGTCTGCGAACTCATTGCGGCCCAGGCCCTACACAGGCTCTGGCATGGCCTAGGCTCCACAAAGACAGCTCGGCAAAGGGTGGTGGACTGAATGTAAGCTTCTTTGAAATGGGAACATTTTAGTTGCTGCTTCTCCACAGCATGGTGGTTTTTCATTAGCACATGGCACGTCAGGGGAAGCTTGAGCCCTGGGACCAAGATGGCCCAGGCCAACATGGTCCAGTGACCCACACCTTGTAGAAGTCACTGTGTGTCTGACTTTGTTTTACAAGTGGCCCAGGTACTTAGGAGATTAGTCTTAGATTACCTAGGCAGGGGTTTGGGGGGGGGAGGGGGGAAAATGAGAAGCTGATACCAAGGGCTCAAGTAGAAAGAAAATGTTTTGAGAATGAGGGGGGAGAGTCTGTTCCCTTTATCCATAGAGTGGGGACTGTGGCACTTACCTGGTAGGCTCCCGTGAAGATTTAATTTGTGTGCGATGGGAGGAGCCCCGGTGCTGTTGTGGGCCATGAGCCAAACACCAGCCCCTCCTCAGAAGAAAGATGAAGTGCTCTACTCCCGTAAAGACTCACAGCCTCAGAAGCCCCCAGGGGCAGTTCTACTCTGTCCTGTAAGGTGACTGAGTATGAGTACGAGCTTTGCAAAACACCTGTCCACTTAAATTATGACGCTGCTGCAGGTGTCTCGTCTAAGCTACCCCATTAATTTAGAAGCAGCAATCTAGGGAGTGAGAATTGCTGCCCTAATGATGGTACTGCTTTGGTCACACGAGGAAATGAGATTTCACTGGGGTTAAAACGTGAGCAAAGCGCATGGTGGACGGGAGGCAGAATGGCAGCAGCCATACACTCCTGATTCCCAGGGAAGGAGGTACAGAGGCGGCTTCTGCTCAGCAGGACGCCTCCTCTCCCGGAAGCTGTGGTGGAAAGCCAAGAGAAGTTAGGACTTGAGCACTGCCCTTCTCTTGGTGGTCTTCAGGAAATCGCTTTATCTCCCCCAGGCGTAGAGAAGGTGCTGACAGGAGGCCTCCACACACACGCAGTGCTAGTAAACAGACGAGAGAGGGCTTTGTAAACGAGCGCTTCGCAGACGTTTCCGTCTCGGACAGACTGCCTGGCCTTTCTCAGGGAAGCTTAGCCTCTGGCACTGATCGGTCAGGACTGCTCACCCAGCCATTCCGGGGTCCTCTTCCTCCCAATTGAAGTTTCCCCCTGCCTTCCAGGTTCTATTTCACCAACTGGCATGGGACCAACGACAATGAGCAGTCAGTGTGGCGACATTCTCCAAAGAAGCAGAAAAATGGCTATGAGAGAAAAAAAGTCCCGGATGCTACCCCTCTCCTTGATGCCAGTTCACTGGAGTATCTGTTTGCTCAGGTAAGAAGTTTGGGCCCCACATGGAACAACATATCAACCTGTGTGATCACGGGGTGTCGAACGGATCACTGAAGACAAATGGGTGCATAAGCAAATGTGGCGAAGAAAGCTGATGGTGCCCGGCTATCAAAAAGTATAGCGTCTGGGGTCTTAAAGGCTTGAAGGTAATCAAGCGGCCATCAAGCTCAAAAGCAACAAAGCCCACATGGAAAAAGCACACCAGCCTATGCAACCACGAGGTGTCGAAGGGATCAGGTGTAAGGCATCATCAGAACAAAAAATCTTACCATAGTGAATGATGGGGGGAGTGTGGAGTGGAGATCCAAAGCCCATTAGTAGGCCACTGGAGATCCCCTTGCAGAGGGGTCTCGGGGAGGAGATGAGCCAGTCAGGGTGCGATGTAACAATGATGAGAAATACAACCTTCCTCTAGTTCCTAAAGGTTTCCTCCCCGCTCCCACTACCATGACTCGAATTCTATCTTGCAAGACTGGCTAGACCAGAGGAGGTACACTGGTACAGATAGGAACTGAAAATACAGGGAATCCAGGATGGATGAGCCCTATAGGACCAGTGGTATGAGTGGCAAAACAGGGAGGGTAAAGGGAGAATGGGTAGGGAAGAGGGAACCGATTACATGGAACTGTGTGTGACCTCCTCCCTGGGGGACAGACAACCGAAAAGTGGATGAAGGGAGAAGTGGGACAGGGCAAGATATGACAAAATACCCATTTATAAACTATCAAGGGCTCATGTGGGAGGGGGGAGCGGGGAGGGAGGGGAAAAATGAGGACCTAATGTCGGGGGTTTAAATGGAGAGAAAATGTTTTGAGAAATGATGTACAAATACGCTTTACACAATTGATGTGTGTATGGATTGGGATAACAGTTGTATGAGCCCCTAATAAAATGTTTAAAAAAAATTAAAAAAAAGAAGTTTGGGCCCAGAAGACCCTAGAGTTTGTAGAGTTCAGATCCCCGGATAGCACCTCTCTGCTGCAGCTGAGCTTGGGGGGAGCCAGAATACTCATCCTGTAGGGAACCTTTGCGACACCAGCACCTGCCCCACGTGAGAAGGCAGGCAGGAGCAATTCGTGGTCCAAGGGCTGGTTGTTCCCCCGGAGTTTCTCACTTTATTGTTTTCCAACACCCCTCACCCCACTCCCCGTTCCCCAATATAATTTTTCTTCTCATCTGTTCAGAGAGCAGAAGGCTACTGCTTAGCAGGTAGAAAAGCGTTTGGGAGGAAGGAGGTGTGCCACTCTTGAGTCACAGTGGTGAGCAGTACAAAGATTAGATCAGCGTTTCTCAACCTGTGGGTCATTCACAGGGGTCGCCCAAGACCATTGGAAAACACATTTCTGATGGTCCTAGGAACCGAGACACCACTCCTCTATCCGTCTCCAGGCGGGACTGCCCACATACGCGTGCCCGCATGAAGACTGTTAACCACGCAATACCATGCTTCAAGACGAAATTTCATTCACTTGTAATTAGAACTAAATAGTTCACAATCTATAATTACATATTGTTTTGTGATTAATCACTATGCTTTAATTATGTTCCGTTTATAACAATGAAAATACATCTATCTTGCATATTAGTTATTTACATTGCAATTCATAACAGTAGCAAAATTACAGTTGTGAAGTAGCAACGAAAATAATTTTATGGTTGTGGGGTCACTACAATATGAGGAACTGTATTAAAGGGTAGCAGCATTAGGAAGGTTGGAGTAGATACTAGAAAACAGCCAAGAGATAAATTCGAATCACCTGAAATTCCGTTATCCTGGAGAACTTGTCTGGTTCCTGATGTTACCCTGGTCATGTAGGACCGCCGACTCCAGGCTTCATGTCTACCCATTTTACAAGTCAGAGTAGTTCACCATGCTTCCGCTTCTAACTACCTGAAGCTAGTCAGCGCAGATGAAGTGTGACTGAACTACTCGAACAATGTGTCAGTCTGGGTAGACCAGAGAAACAAATTCATGGGCACGCGTATAGAGGAAAGACTTTTTTTTTTTAATTAAGTCATTTTATTGGGAGCTTGTGCAACTCTTATCACAATCCACACATACATCCATTGTGTCAAGCACTTTTGTTTCCCTCATTATTCTCAAAACATTTGTTTTCTACTTGAGCCCCTGGTACTCCCTTATTTTTCCCATCCCTCCCCCTCCCCCATGAACCCTTGATAATTTATAAATTATCATTATTTTGTCATATCTTACACAGTCCGACGTCTCCCTTCACCCACCTCTTCGCTTTCTGTTCCCCAAAGAGGAGATTATATGTAGATCCTTGTAATCTGTTCGTTTCCACCCCACCCTCCTGGTATCACCACTCTCACCACTGGTCCTGAAGGGCTCATCTGTCCTGGATCCCCTGTGTTTCCAGTTCCTATCTCTACCAGTGTACATCCTCCAGTCCAGCTGGATTTTTAAGATAGGACTGGGCTCATGATAGTGGGGGGTAGGGGTGGGGAGAAAGCATTCAAGAACTAGAGGACAGCTGTAAGTTTATTTACAAGAGCAGTTGAATATTGAGAAAACCTCCCAGCCCAGTCCAGATCAAGTCCATAAGTCCAATATTAGCCTGTATGTCTGGTACCAATCTATAAAGTCTTCTTCAGACTCAAGAACCACACACAATGATGCCAAATGCAGGAAGATCACAGGCCAGTGGGTGGGAAATCTTGTGGATCCAGTGGTGGTGTAAGCATTTCAGTGCCGGCTGGGGTCTCCATGTGGCTCTTCCAGTCCCCAGTGCCATGTGTCTTGTCAGTAGAGCATCTCTCAGGGAGTGAGTTGAGAGAGAGACAGACAGACAGACAGACAGACTGACTCCCACCTCCTCCACAGAGGAAATACCCAAGTTCCCAGAATTCTCTGGAGAAGACCATGCCCACAGAGAAGCCTCGTTGGTTATGACCCGATTGACAGTCTAGACTCCACCCCTTCACTCTTAATCCTCTTAAGTTCCTGACTGCCGCCAGATTATATAACTACCACAAGCAGCAGCATTGGAGCCTGGCAAGTCGAAGTCTGCCTCACTCCCAGCACTCCAAGGCCATCTCACTCTCCATTTTCTGACATGGCCTCGTTTCTATGTATTTATTATTTTCTTCCCCCTTGAAATGGGGTCTCTGTGAGGGCAAGAACTTGGTTTGACTTATTAACTGCTGATCCTTAGCAGCTAGAATAATGTCTGGCTGATAATTGCAAATCAGTAATTACCAGGAGAATGAATAAAGTAATTTCTTCTCCTTTATGTGCCTCGCATTCCCATGTCTTACCTGAAGCTGACGTCAGTGACCAGCTCTTTGGTGAGGAGGGAATGAGATGATAAATACAGGAGCCGAGCGCTGTGTCTTGCACCGGGGTTACTGTTAGTTGGTTGCTCCTGCGTCAAGTCCAGCATATGTGTGGAGAGAGGAATTTGACTTCTCATGGTTTGCAAGGCTGTGGCAGTAGGAGGGAGATAATGCATAGCCTGTGTTTACACATTCTACGTTTTCCAGTATCTGCTGTTCAAGTTTCCAATAGTGAAATGTGTCGCCAAAACAGAGCTCTCCCTGATGGAGGGTCACATCACTCCAAGAGCCAACGGGGACTACAAGAAAGCAAAAGAGCCGAGCCCACCGCCCGCATCGCAGTAGGAGGTGGTGCCCTATCAATATTAATGTACTGAGTTCCCAGACCAGGACATTGTAGGAAGTGTGGGCGGAATGAAAGAATGACGATCCCCCAGTGACACATCACCTTCCCTGTGCCTCAGTGCAGACCCCGGCCTAATACACGCTGTTGCTTCTTTGGCTTCACCTGTACCAGGAGTGTCATGGAGGAGCTCTATGTTCTTGTACTGCTTACCAGCACCTACTGCCAAAGCCAACCCCACTGCCATGAAGTCGCTCTGGACTCACCGTGACCCTGTAGGGCACAGAAGTATTGCTCCCTTGGGTTTCTGAGACTAAGATAGCTTCAACGGCCTCCCATGCAGAGCGGCTGGTGGTTTTGAACTGCTAACCTTTCGGTTAACAGCCAGTGTATAAATCACTAGGCCACCAGGGCTTCCAGCACCACCAGGGTGGTCAGTAGTAAAATGAGTGAATTCGCCTGAGGAGAGCATTTCCTGAGTTCCATAGTGTCCACTTTGTTGAAAAGGGGCCAGATGCCCGTAGAACTGTCAGGCTCACTCCCCTCACTGCTGTTGTGCGTTTCTGCCTTCCTCTCAGGACCGGAAACATGAGTGGTGTCCGAAACCTACATGCTGGTTAATTTGCCCTCGCTTCTGCTCCACAGGGACAGTACGATTTGGTCAAATGCCTGGCTCCCATCCGGGACCCCCAGACAGAGCAGGATGGGCATGACATCGAGAACGAGTGTCTGGGAATGGCAGTCCTGGCCATCTCACACTATGCCATGATGAAGAAGATGCAGTTGCCAGAGCTTCCCAGGGACATCAGGTAGACCAGACTTGATTTTGGCTGTGGGATTGAATCTAGGTGATGCTATTTTGGTATTTACGCTCTGGCAACTTTTGGCTGACCCCTGGTTTCTGCAATCCTACAGAAATCCTACTTAGATATTTATAAAAGGTAACACAAACATAATTGCATCCCGATTGCCTCAAGCATGGGCATTCTCTGCTGGGGATCGTGAATTAGTGGCCCCCGTGCCCAGCCCATCCCCTTCCCAAGGTGAACATTGCTATGTGTCCCTGGCATTGTTATCTGTCACTGCCCTTTTTCCTTTTGGCAAGTGTAAAATCACTCAGTGTAGCTCTACGTCCAGCCACGACCATTCCCAGTCTGAACTGTGGTTTACTGTCAATTCTGATGTGAGGGGTGATCATCTATTACTTTAAGAAAATTATATTTGAAAATACCACTGGAGCGCAAGTCTTTGAGAAGGGATTTCCGTCTGTGATTTCTGCCCCTTGTTTGCCTTACCAGTGGGCTCATGAAGACAGGAGAAATCCTGTCTGCTGCGTCCTTTGTGAGAGGTGCTGCCCGTCCTCTCACTCCACTGCTGCTTGTATCTCCTGCCCGGGACCAGCATCCGGAGCGCAGCATGCGGCTCCTGCTCAGTAATGTGGGGCTGATCAGATACATGCTCTTCTACCTCTGTCTCCCTTTCTCTCTCTGGCCTGTACTCGAAGCTCTCCTCTTTATTTTTAATGATATTGAGGTGAAAAAAGTCATCCGCTCTCTGGTCTCCCTCTCGACATGTGGCATTCATCTAAAGGAAAAGGTGTGCCCTTTGTTGGGGAATAAACCTCAAACATCACAATTTCCTAAGATGTGAAACCGTTCATGCAGCAGCACATGGTCTGTTGTGCCCTGTTCAGGTTGGTGTCAGGCCTGGGACTGTCCATGAGACAGCCCTTCCCACTGCTTTACTCCCCAAGCCCAACCAGTGCCCAGGGCACTCGATTTTTCTTTCGTGGCTCTTTGTGTCCTCCTTAAAATGGGCTCTTGCTCCGGCACTGTAGTACAGTGTGTTGAGAATCCCTGTGTCCTAGGTTAGCATCCTTCACATTACCACCTGGTCCATATAATAAATACATTCTCATGGGAAACACGGTGCCTTTTCTACTCAGTTCTTGTGTTGTTTCCTGCCCCCCCCCTCCCCCAAGGTGGAAACTGTATGGCTATCACAGAGGAGTTATGAAGCAGTTAACACAGATAGAACAAATGACCTGTGATCCCACCCAAAGATGACCACTCTTGGCAGCTCTCAGCCGGGTGTCTTCTCCCTGCTGCTGCCTTGTCTAATTGTGAGCTATCTAAGTCCTGGTGGCCCAGGCACGGTGGCAGTAACGAGCACAGCTATCGGTAAGCCCATTCGCTACCTGGCACTTGTATCCCAGAAAATACCATGTCCTATAGGAGTTCCCATTTGGTGAGATGCGTGGGCGATGTATTCTTGTGTTCTCTCTCGGCCCCTACTGCACTGTGATTGTCCGTCTCAGGGCACATTCCACCTCAGACCCTCTGGGAAGAGATTTTCCCTTTCAGCCGATACCAGATGTAAGGAAGATAGCTATCGGCTGGTTTCTAAATGAGTCTCTGTTCACCTGTACTTCAACAACAGATGCATTTTCCCACTTTCTTTTAGCTACAAGCGATATATTCCAGAAACACTGAATAAGTCCATCCGACAGAGGAATGTCCTTACCAGGTTGCGAATCAACAACGTTTTCAAGGATTTCCTAAAGGAATTTAACAACAAGACCATCTGCGACAGCAGCGTGTCCACGCACGACCTGAAGGTGAAATACTTGGCGACGTTGGAGACGTTGACGAAGCATTACGGTGCTGAGCTCTTTGAGACCGCCATGCTACTGATCTCATCAGAAAATGAGGTGATGAATCGGTTTCATTCCAACGACAGTGGAAACTTTCTCTGCTATGAAGTGATGGTGACTGGAAACCTCGGGATCCAGTGGCGGCAGAAGCCAATCGTAAGTCTATGTGTCACAGGGTGCGTGGTTTACCCTATTGGGGTTGCTGTTGATAATGCCCCCCTGCCCCCCCCAAAGGCTCAATAGGCTAGAGGCCGTGCATCATCCGTCTTCAGTTGTCCACACACACTACCAGCTCTCCCAAGTGTGCGTTCTGAGTGCTGTGGGAAATAGAGAGCTGGAAGAAGAACAGCAGGGATGAGGGGCTTCAACAATGTCGTGGGAAAGTTCATGAGCTCTTGGAAGCCTTCTTGTATACTACGTAGTAATAGCAGTAGGCGTTGTATGAGTGTTCGCCTTGTGGTAATCACTTTGCGAAGCCATGCCTTGAGCCGACTTCTCGGGGGAGAAAGGAAGTGATGGGAAGACTAGCACTGCCCCCATTTACAGATGAGCACAAGAAGGCACAGAAGAGTAACTCACTGAAGGTCAGAACCAGCAAATGATGTGTCCAGAACTGAACTCAGGCCCCATGAAATCTGGTCATTGATTTTGCACTATGAAGCCTCTTGATTGAGTTTTGTTGATGAATGTAGTCATTGAAGAGCAAGAGTTTTAAAACGCTATAGAGTTTCAGTTCTGGTTCTGCTACTTATATGGCCTTGCGAAGGTTACCTTACCTACATCAGCTGTGTGTGATGCATCTGAAACGTGCAGATACGGTGTCTACCTCCTAAGATTGTTGAAAGAATTAAATGGCATTTAGCACAGAGCTTGGCATATAATAAATATTCCGTATACTATTATGCCAATGACTACTATGATTTTAAGTAAAATTAAGCATGAGATTCATTCTCTCCCCTTCCTGTTTTCTTCTCATGCTAAAATAACAATGTCTGTCACTCGTCAAGTGCTTTCTGTGCCTTAGATCCTATGTGATAAGTATTTACCATAATCCTCCAAGCACCTTGGAGGAGACAAAACCTCTGTGCTCTCCAGCCTGGGAAGCTGGAAGCGCAAGAGAACAGAATCTGATGAGTAACTGGCAGAGGCAGGATCGTCACCCAGGGCTCACGTTTCCCAGACACGTGCTTTGCCGAACGCTTCAACTTATGCAGATAAGGATGGCTCCTTAGAAAATCCAAGCACGCGATTCCTATCTTCTCTCGAAAATTCCACCCTGGGTGTTGTTGTACAGTCCAGATGATTGGCGATAGATTCTGAATGGAGAGAGCCCATGTTGTGTCCCTCCGAGCCCTCTGCTTGCTTGTTTGGGAAGAACAGGTCCTTCATCTGTGTCGACACACCTCTGTCGGTGTGGAAGTGAGAGGACCTGATCGTCAATTCACGTTGAGTTAGTTTTCCTCTCTGAGTTAGTATTTAAATGCATGCTAACTATTGCATAAAATGAAGACTGTAATCAGTGTGCTCACTAGGGCCTCCCCCAATTCTTCCAGAAGTCCAGGTCCACTGGCTTTCCCTGCTTCCACCCGAGACCCTGCACTGGTCTATCGCAATCACTCCGGGACCCTTTGTCTTATAGTATAGAATACAGGGACGGCAGCTCATCCTTGTCACGCTTGTACCCATGCTATCAGGTTCTTCCTGTTGAGAAGGAAAAAAACAAGCTGAAGCGGAAAAAACTGGATCACAAATACAAGAAGGATGAGGAGAAAAATAAAATCCGGGACGAGTGGAACAATTTTTCTTACTTTCCTGAAATTACTCACATTGTAATAAAAGAGTCTGCGGTCAGCATTAACAAGCAGGACAACAAAAAGATGGTAAGTCGGCTGTTCACCCACCTAGTGCTGAGAGGGCGGTGTTGACCGAGGGCATTGCACACAGCACAGGCTTCTCCGAGTGCCCGTCCACAAAAGAAAATCTGATGACTATCAGACTTAAACCCAAAAGCCCCTACTTGGCGGAAGCATTATCAACATCACTTTTGGGGTTGCACATTTTTTGTTATGTTAGCTTCTCTACTGAAGCAAAACCAGTGAATCTTAGGTCTGATTTGTATGGCCCAGCCAAGGCAACATGCTCTGGTCCATTCTTGGAGCCCTGGTGGGGCTGTGGCTTATTGTTTGGCTACTAACTGTGAGGTCAGCAGTTCAAAACCACCAGCCGCCACTTGGGCGAAAGATGAGACTTGCTACTCCCATAAAGAGTGGCAGTCTTGGAAACCCACAGGGGCAGTTCTACCCTGTCCTATAGGGTTACTATGAGTCAGAATCAACTTGGTGGTGGGTCTGGTTGGGCTTGGTACATTCTCACACCTTTCTTAGGTCTTACAGCTGTGAATCCCTCTCAGGTGTGCTGCCCTCCGGAAGGTATTTCAGCACTGATATTTGATTCAGAAAGGTTCATGGATATGAAGGGGGGCGGAAACCCACAGATGTTACAGGGCTCCTCCGAGGCGCCTCTGCTGAGTGGGCTGGGTCCTGTGGGGTCAAGTCCGTGGGAAGCCCCACTTTGCACTTTTGCAGACTGTCCGGCCGGTGGCTGTGGCCACCGGGGCAGTCCTGGTCAGGGTGCCAGGCACACCCAGCGACTCTCGGACAGCGGAAGGGGTGTTCAGTCCCACTTCCTTTTTTGGTATCACTTGAGGACATAATCTAGACAGGCAGGCCAGTTTGTCAGGGGAAGTGGGAACCCTGCCAAAAGAAACATGTTTGTGTCAGGGGAAGTTGTGGCCGACAAGTGCAGACGGCAGGATGGTGAGCAGAGACACGCTCTCCAGGGGGTGGAGCCAGTCGACACGAGAGAAGTACCAATTTGTGCCTAAGACTTGCCGAGTAACTACATCAGAATGACATGTGTCACTCAGTGCTGGCACAGAGCTCAGACTCTCCGCCACCCAGGGAGGGTCTTTGTGCCAGAACCTCTGAGGAAACTGCTGGTGGGGTGTATGAAGAATCTTGAAAATATATCCATCCCCCCATTTAGAAATCTAGGAATTGATCTTCCAGAAGCAGAGAAGGATGCAGGCAGTGGCTGATGAATGCGACTCCTCTGTCCAGCATCAGAGTGCTGAAAACAGCCTCAGTGTGCAACAGTGGGTATTGGGAAAGCAAACCACACTCCATCTGGGAAAGGCTTTGCTAAATGGGGGGAAACAAAACAGTGTAAGCAATTTTTTTTTCAAAATCTTGAAAGTATGCATGCACATGTGTCTAGATAATCAAATAACAGCACCTCTCTATGCTCTTCTGGGACGACATTTATTATGGCGAGATTGAGTGCTTTTAATTTTTCTCTTTTTTTAGCAATATGCTTGCATTAATTTTATCATTAAAACTGGTGATAACACAGTGAAGGGAGAAATAGAAAACCTTAGATCAATGGTAACGGAAAGATGACCAACAAATCAGAGGGAGGAGGGAAATAATAAGTGTTATTTATGGAACATGTAATAGTTCTTGGGTCCTGTGTCAGATGCTGTGCCTTCATCCTCTCCTTTAGTCTTCACACAAACCTTAGCTGTAGGCCATGGGCTCTGTTTCCAGCAGGGAATCAGAAACTTCTCCAGGGGTGTAGGGTCACACAGTGAGAGAGGGGTGGGCATTTCCACAGTTCCGTCTGCTTCCAGCCCATGCTTTGGGCTGTGCTGCTTTGGTTTCTGATGGATTATCCACATCCTCAGGGACTTTCTTGAGAGCAGAGGTTGGTATGTCCATGGGCTGGATCTTCATTGCCAGCCCCTCAGGGCACAGGCAGAGCAGGGGAAGCAGCAGCCATCTGGTACATGTGTGTGAGCCTGCCTCTGGCCTGTCCTGGCTGCCTCGGAAGCCCAGCCCCCAGGAGGTGCACCCATCACGTAGGCGGAAGCTCTCCCTGCCCACCTGGCCACCTGCCCCAGGGCCTCTTTGCCAAGCCACAGTGCTGTGTGGGCAGCAGGAAGGCAGAAAGAAGGAAGTGCATGATCTCTACCCCATTTTTGATTTTTTGCTGTTACCACTTTAATACCTCTCAGTCTGTGCCAGGCCCTTCCTGTTTTCAGCCCTCTCCAAAGATTGACCCTCCTCTTTTTCATTCCACGGCTCTGAGGTGGGCTGACCCTACCCTCCCCTCCTCATTTTCCAGAGGAGGAAACTGAAGCACCAAGAGGTTACAAGTTGCTCAGAATCAGTTACTGAGGCACTTGAAATTGCCAATGTTTGATCACTTTTGGCCAGTAAATGCCAAGTCCATGTGCTTCAGCTTAGTAGCAAGTGGAGGTGCTGAGATCTGGACCCAGATAGGCTGTTTCCAGAGGCTGTGGGTTAACAGTCCCCTGGCCTCTTCTTTGACAGGGGTTTCTAAACCTTTTGATGAAGTGATATTTTGGCTGCTGGTCTTTCTTCATTCTGCTCATGACACCCTGTTGACAGTCCCATTTCCATGTTGTCTTCGGCTCACAGGGAACTTACGTATTTATGTGGTCTTGCTTATATAGCTGGATGAGGGTACACCCCACCCCACCCCTGCCAAGCCAGCCCTGCTCCTCACCCAAGACCATATTGAATCCTTTCTCTCAGAATATATGAAGGTTGATTGCCATCTTAGCAAAGAGTAGCTCTGCTGATGTGCTCTCTCTAGCCTCCTTAGCTCTCCACCCTGCCTTTGGCATCACAGCTAGCTGTCCCTAGGTCCTCGTACTTCCTTTTAGCCAGTGCTTCTAATGAGAACACGAACACACACACACACACACACACACACACACACACACACTTTTCCTTTTGCTTGTCTCTGGTGTGGTGAAAAGTCATATTTTCATGCATCATTTACTGAAATTCAGATACTTTTAAATGTTTTTATGAGTCAGTGCTCCAGATCATGGCCTTGCATACATTCCATCACCAGGAAATGTTCCTCGGTGACCCTGTGACTCCTTCCACGTGGGTGGTCTCTGGCCATGGCTGCATGATGAGGAGACAAACCCACTTTGCTGCAGCTCCAAGCGTCTTTTTCTGAGTTGTCTCCTTTCCCTTGCCCTTCCACGTTTGCCTTTGCTGCTTCCCACCCGCAGTAGAGCCCGCTGCCTCCTCCCAACCCTCAGGGGAACCGGACTTATTCTAGTTACTTCATCATTCATTGCTACAGAGGTGCTGCTTTTTTCTGAAAAGGGGCCAGTAGACCAAATAAGTTGTGGAGCCTATGTTCTGGAACAACTCTGCCGTAGGAGGAAATGCCATGCCTTATTCCATATCTGTGATACAGGGATGCTGCCGGCTCAGCTGGTGATGGCTTAGGGGACCACGTGCTGCATCTGCTCCGTTCTTCTCACCTCCGTTTTTTGCCTCTGCCTCCGCCACTCAGGCACTCTCTTCTTCTGGACTCGTGGGCAGCATCTCTACAGGTGGCCCCGGCCCATTTCCATCCAAAAGTTCTGGTATAATAGACGATGAGAGGAAATAGAATGGACGTGAAAGTGTGCTGAACAGTCAAGGCTCCTGAGCCATGTAAGGTGGTGAGTGGTTAGTTACCAACCAAGAGTTTCCCTTTGGAGTTAGTCATCTTCATTCGAATCTCTTTCCCTGCCCACAAAGTCAGGTGCTTGAGATGCTAGTCTGTAACCATGAGTGTTTCTTTTCTCTCGCCAGGAACTGAAGCTCTCTTCCCACGAGGAGGCCTTGTCCTTTGTGTCTCTGGTCGACGGCTACTTCCGGCTCACAGCAGATGCTCATCATTACCTCTGCACCGATGTGGCTCCCCCGTTGATCGTCCACAACATACAGAACGGGTGTCACGGCCCAATCAGGTTGGTTCTAGGTCCTTGTCTGTTGCCTTTGGTGGGGAAAGAGCCCCAGCTTTAGTGATGGGGCGCGTGGCCTCCTTTGACACAGATGTCCTCGGTTGTTAGCTTGGGGCCAGTTGGTCATGTTTGTCAGTACTTAAGTGCAACCTTCTTTGCCATGCCTGCCCTCCCCACCTTGGTCAGGCCTTGCTGCCATCTCTCACTTGGATTCTTGTAGCAGCCGCTCAACTCTTCTCACATACTCCTCGTAGCACACCCCCTCCTCTCTCCACAAGCGATGGAAAAGTGCCACACTCCCTGGCCTCTCGCTCCACCAAGCACCGTGGATGATTAAAGGAGGATAGGATCCAGCATGTCAACATCAGGCAGTGTCACAAACACAATCCTGTGATCGCTGGCCCAAAAATGGCAGGTGAATGTGTGGACTTTGAGGTTAAAGAAGTCTCCAGACTACACCTTGTCCCATCTGCATCCAGAACTGGTAGTCTGTGCTTGAACAACCCTGGGTTGGCAGTCCTAGATGACAGCCCTAGCCATTCCAGATAGCTGCACTTGTTTTACGTGCAGTTGAGGTTTATTCCTTTGTCGTTTCTCTCCATTGGCCTGTGGTCTGACGTTGGCAGTACCATGAATTCCGTTAACTCCCTCTTAGGCCACACAAGCACCCTTCACGCACGGGAAGACAGCTGCTATGCTCCTAAATCTCGTGTCTTGGACCAAAATGTGTCTGTGGAAGCATCAACTCAGCCGCCTTCCACGTTCCTCCACTGTGAGCTCCTAGAGGAGGGCACCATCAATCGTGCTTGACACTTTTCTTGGCACCCGTAGCAGGGCCTGCTGCGTGAGAGGAACTTGGTGTTTGTGGAACGGGTGCCTGCTTCCTCCACCTGGGAGAGAGATGCGTTGCCTAGGGAATGTTCTTAGAGTAAGCAGCATTCCAGTAAGATTAACCTGAGGAATCGGTGAGGGTGGACCAGGCCAGAGCGAGGGAGGGAGTAGGATGACAGGCAAGCAATGACTGTGTGCAAAGACACGGAGGTGTTGGAGAGCTGATTGTCTACCTTTCTAAAGCACCGTGACCACATCACCAACATTTAGCGAGCACTCAGTAGGTATGAGCAATCTGATACATGGGTTTATTTACTGATTTATTTAACCGATGCACCCAGGGACAATATTGCGGGTAAGCCAGGAAAGTTCCTTCTCCCGGCATCTCTCTAATCCTCATTTGATTTATTCATTCAACATGTGAATATCGAGCACTGACTGAGCCAGGCACGCTGTGATTACTGGGGATATAGCAGTGGACAAAGCGGCCCCAGATTGCTGCCCCGGAGCACATGTTCTAGTGGTTGGGGTCCCGGCCACTGCGTTCTGGTAGCTCCTCATCACCAACTGTGGGCAGAGCCGGGCCAGCATGTCTGGGTACCGGAGGACATGCAGGGCTCCGCGGCCCGGGCAGCAGGCTGAGTCCTCCTCTAGATCTTGGAGGTTTGATGGGTCTCAAGCTCCCCAGGACCTCAGCATGCCACACATGCGAGGGGCCAGGGGACTGCAGCGCTGAAGGCAGGGTAGTTAAGGGATGTGGTTCACAGGCCCCTCCTTGGTGTCAGCTCTTCCTCTCTTGCCCCATCTCCCCCTCCAGCACAGAATACGCCATCAACAAATTGCGGCAAGAAGGAAGCGAGGAGGGCATGTACGTGCTGAGGTGGAGCTGCACCGACTTCGACAACATCCTCATGACCGTCACCTGCTTTGAAAAGTCTGAGGTCAGTCAGGACATTGGTTCGGGCCAGGCCATATATGGCCACAGGGTGGTCCCGGAGCTGCTAGAGAGGACCACTCTGGGGATGGGCATACAGAAAAAACAAGCCTCCATGTGGTCCCTGACATGAGTTGGCAAGAGAAGCCTGCTCTCCAAAAGGACCCTGCTCCTTTCCCTCCACAGCCTCCTCGCCCCCTGGGGTCTAGGGCAGAGTTGAGGGCCCCCTTGGCCCTGGACGGCAGGGAGCAGCCGGGACACCAGTCCCTGGCAGACTCGTGAGGAGTGTGCGATGACATAGAGTGGGTTCTTTACGGCTCCATGCTGGGCTGATCACAGCCCCCAATCTGTTTGCAGTCTTCTCTGTTACAGACGGTGCCAAGAATGCCATGCACCCTTAGGGCCCGCAGCTGTCCCCACGTGCTGCCTTCAGACACTTCACACAGAGAAACCGCTGCCCCACATTGTAACAGAGGTCTAGCAGGAATGCTGGTGAAGCTGAAAAGCCAGGCCTAGTGCCAGGGAAATCGTGAAGGCCGCCGAGGCATGAGGCAGCATCCTTGACCTTACCTCTCCAGACCACCGACGCCCTGCTATTCATGCCATTTGTTAGTGCAGCGGTTCTCAGCCTGTGGGCTGTGACCCCCTTGTGGGTCAAATGACCCTTTCACAGGGGTCGCCTGATTCATAACAGTAGCAAAATTACAGTGATGGTGTAGCAACAAGCATCATTTTATGGTTGGGGGTCACCACCACATGAGGAACTGTATGAAAAGGTGGTCGCGTGAGGAAGGTTGAAAAGCACTGTGTTAGTGGGATTGGGCTGCCCACATCAGCGGGGCGCAGGGCAGGGCCTGTGAGGAAGCGTGCTGGCCGGCCGGCCGGAGGGGCCTCCTGCGAGAGAGGGAAGAGGGTGCAGCAGCAGGAAGCCGGCACTGCTGGCCGGCCTGGGCAATGTGTCCAGGGGCCGCACTGCCTGGGCTGGCTTCTGTGCAGCTGGACCCGGGGCTCAGAAGCCATTGGGCCTGTTGCCTTAACAGGGTGCCTGATCCCTTATCCATCCGTCCCCAGAGGAGGTTTCATCTTGCTCTCAGTGATACGGCCCGGAGTCCCGTGCTGTACCAGAATGTCAGGGACTCAGTAGCACGGCCTGCCTGCTGTCAGTCACAGGCAACCATGGGCATGCTGTGTGTTGTTGTGTGCCAAGCAGTTGATCCCGACTCGGCAACTTTGTGGGACAGAGTCGAGCACCCTACGAAATGCCCTAAGCCGAGTTTATCACGAGAGCAGACCACCAGGCCTAGGAGGCGCTGGGTGAGTTTGACCCCTGACCTCACCGGCATCTGAGAGTTTGACCATTGCATCCCGGAACCCTCTATAAGACGTGACAACTCCTGTTCATTTTAGCTCACTTGGCACCAGCATGTTCTCAGTGTAAGTCGTACAGGCCCCGGGGAGATGGGCGGGAACATCCGCAGTGCATCCAATAGGAAACTGAGGCGCTGGGATTCTTCAGTAACTTGTCTGAGTTAACACTCACTCGTATCCACTAAAATAGTTTCCTTTGCACACCAAGTGCTTGAAGTAAAAACTTGGGCTTAGACCTGCCATTCGTGACCTCAGAGAGCCCTGGCAGCTGAAAAACAGTTTCCACTGTGGCCCTCCTGCGAAACCTCTGCAGCCCACAGAGGCCTTGTGTGAGGAGGCAGCCCGGGCGTATTCACTCTGTTCCTCGGTCTAGCAGGGCCTTCTCCTGGGGCTCTTTAATCTTGCTGTCTGTTGACTGATCGTTGGCAACAAACCTCTTGGTCTTGTGAGTCATTTTAGGTTTCCAGGTCCCTTGCGGTGACAGTGGGGTGTTTATTCGGGCCCTCTAAGGGACCTGTTAGTGGACCCCCTTTTAATCAGGTTGGTTCTGGTTGTTTCTGCACAGCAGGTGCTGGGCGGCCAGAAGCAGTTCAAGAACTTCCAGATCGAGGTGCAGAAGGGGCAGTACAGCCTGCACGGCTCGGCGCACAGCTTCCCCAGCCTGGGGGAGCTCATGGGCCACCTCAAGAAGCAGATCCTGCGCACGGACAACATCAGCTTCGTGCTGAAGCGCTGCTGCCAGCCCAAGCCCCGAGGTGTGTGTCCCTTTGCCAGCCCCGGGCCACATCCCGGCCCCGGGGAAGACTGTCTGCCCCTCGCTGTGACTTGCCCCCAGTTTAAAGGGCATGGGCCCTCCCCGGTCTCCACTTTTGTCTTGTTTTTTGTTACGGGTCTCCCTGCCCTCAATTCACATTCCACTGCTCACCCACCAGCATAGCGTTTCTACAGAAAAGATGGACAAGAGAGGGCTGCACAAAGTTGGTGGGAAATCCTAGTGTATCTCGCTGCATTTCCCCTCCAGCTTTTCCCAGTCTCTCAGCCTGCAGAAAGGGGCGTGCGTCCTTGAAATGCCGTGAGAGGCCCCTGTTACTGGCTTACTGGTGTGAGAGAGGGATGCGTGCAGCTGCTGTGAGGACCAGGTGCTGCGAGTCACACCCAGGCCCTCTTCTCGGAGGCCCTGCAGCAGACGTCACAGACAGGTGTTGTCACTGTCATCTGGTGGGCTCTCTTTAGGCAGCACAGAAGTACGGGGATGAGGGCCAGCCACTGAGTCACCTGGCTCAGAGAGGGACACTTCAGTAGCACAGAGCTACTCTCTGCAGAGAGCTGTCTATGCAGAGCCAAGTGGCGGCGAAAAGTAGAGACTGCAGAAAGGTGCTGGGTGGCCAGTGTGTTAGGTAAAATGGGAAAAAGGGGGGCTGAGTTTGAAGAGGGATAGATTGCAGATCATGAGGGGCCTTGGTTGCCACCCAAGGAGCTTAGTAGACTTGACCCTACAGGCAGGGTTAGCCTTGCAGGATCAAGGAGTAAAATGGGTAAGAGGGGGAACTCGAGGGCTCTCTTAGGCTGGGTTGACTAGAGAAACAAATCCATGGACATTCACATATGTATAAGAAAGAGCTTTATATAAAAGAGCAATTGTATTGCTCTTGAGGAAACTTCCCAGACCAGTCCAGCCCAAGTCCGTAAGTCCGATATTAGCCCATATGTCCAATACTAGGCCATAAATGTCTCTTTAGACTCACACAGCCATGCAATGTTGTTGAATGCAGGAAGGTCACAGGCCAGTGGGTAGAAGGTCATGTGAATCTAGTGGCAGTGGAAGCATCTTAACACTGGTACTGGTCTCCACGTGTCTCCTCCAGCTCACTGAGTGTCTCCACGGAAGGAAAGGGAATGCAAGAGAGAGTGGGTCTGGCCTCCAGCGAGCTATTTCTCTCTGTTGTGCCTCCAAATGAGGTCATCAGGCAGCCACCTGATTGACAGTTTAAACTCCACTCCTTCACTCTTAAAATCCTCAAGTTGACACCAGATTATGTAACTCCACAGTCAGTCACCTCTTGCAGATTGACTTCACGCGTGTCATTTTACAGATGATAAAATAGGCCCAAGGATGAAGTCATTGAGTGCCAAGGTCAAAGAGGGGTTTGAGGGCCAGATCCACCCTGAAGCCAAAACCCTTGAGGTTGGTTTTCTTGATGTTTCTCCGCCTTGAGATGCTGCCCAGCAGATGCCAGATGTTTCCTGTCAAGGGCTCTGGCCCCAGAGAAAGGGCAGTGCCGTGGCTTCTAGGCCCCTGGTAAGGAGTAGTACAAGAGCCATAGAGGAGCCCCTGGATGGAGACACGGCTGGTTCTTTTACGAATGGCACTTAACAAGTTTGTGCAGAGGAACCACTGCCAGGGTAGAAAGCAATCTAGGCTCGGGGGTTGAATCATACTTTGATCTCTGAGCAAAGGGACTCGTCACTGAACTTAGTGACCAAGGAAGGGCTTGGCCTATACCTCATATAGGTTTTCCTGCTAGTTCCTTCTGGAAGATGTTCTGCAAAGGTGCTTACACAACCGCCACACAGCCGTGAGATCTCTAAAACCTGTTTGCTCACATCAACTCATCTGGTTATTAGAACATTTTTCTTTTACTTGGCTAGGAATTAGTGCTCTCGTGGTGAGGGTGAGGAGTTTGAGGATATGAGCCATTGGGAGAGAGAAGGTGAAGGCCAGCGGGGAACTGAGACCTGATGTCTTTGCAGGGCTCCAGTGGAGAGGTCTCTGCCTTAGAAAGCAGAGCCTGGAGCAGTAATGTGGATGAAAAGCACAAAAATGAGGTGACCCCCTCTCTCCTGACTACTGTTGAGGCCCCCAGAACTGAGCCCTAAAGGAACTTACTGTCTGTCTTTCCTCTTGATTATAAACCCAGAGACCCAACCTGGGCATCACTCTTCACTGGGTGAGGTCCCTTGTATAGGCCCTCTGGACGCCCTCTGCCACTAGAGAAGTGGGGAAATCATGAGAAGCAGAGAGCTGGTCACTCTGGGTCTTCCGGCTCCTTTGGCTGCCTAACCTCAGAGGCTGACAGTTTGCCCCTGGCCTGGTTTTCTCACTTGCAACTGCAACCAGGAAATTACTCGTGGACCAAATGCCAAGGCGAGTGCAAAGGTAGGAAGCCACTTGGAATGGGCGTGACCATGGAGCAAGCCTACTGTGTCTTCCATTTTTCACCCCTAAGAGTGGCCGTGGGGAGATCAGGTTCAGGAAGTAGGTAAAGGCCCAAGGGAGTGACTGAGCCCTCCCTCCCACTGCTGCCCTCATGCCCTCAGCTGTGCAGCCAGGCTCTGTGCTTGGCATCCACAGCCAGCAGCTCCAAGGTTAGGCACGTCTGCAGATCGTTGGCCAAGGTTTAGAGAACCAGGTAGTGCAACAAGGGTGAACATGCCTAAGGTGTAATACTGCCGTAGTGCTTACCAGTTACCAAGCCTCTGCACACACACCCCAGGCACCGACAGGACCCCCATGGGTGTGCTTCATTATCTCTCACAGCTGCTTGATGGCTGGCACAGCTGTTAGCCCCATGTACAGTGAAAATCACGTGCATAGGACTTACTCCACTCCCCAGCTTATACAGGTGACCCTAATGCCCAGTTCCCTAAGCTTCTATGCAAATAATTCTTTCACAGATGGCCCCTTCTCCCATTCTCTCGACGTTTCCACACGGCTGTGCTTCTGTGGGGACCTTTCAAAGTCGCCCTGTCTTGATAGGGTTTCTCCTTCAGGGCAGGCCTGAGTTGCCTGTTTTCCTCTGATTTTACTCCAGGGATGGAGCCTGAAGGGGGGAGTTGACTGGAAAAAGGAATGCCCTGTGTATGACCACAAGGAGACAGCTCTATCTGAATCGAGTTTCTGACTCCAAGTTTGTACCCTCCACTAGGGCCAGCTAGTGTTGTGGGAAGGAGAGGCTCAAGTCTGGGGCCTACTGGCTGCCTGGCAGGGGCAATTTGTTGTCTCATTCAGAATCTGTTTTCTGAGATCTGTAACGGCAAGAACAGCATCTTCTTCCCAGGATTGCCAAGGGATAAACGTGTTAATTGCATGTAAAGCTATTGGACACAGAGAATGGTCATAAAAATGTAAGCTAGAAGACAGCGGGGAGAGGGCAGGAGAGCAGCTCTACCTGCAGGGCATGGGGACTGAGAGGCCACAGCCAAGTCCCTTGGCCCCCTGTTGGGGACATGGGGCTATGCAGCTCTTGCCGCCTGGTGGCCCCTGGAGCCCTTGGTTCTCCGTGATTTTCTTCTGGGAGCGTCCTGCCGTTCAAACCCGAGAAGCAGGATTAAACTTGCAGTACAGGACAGAGGGAGGGGATGCTGGTTAGTTGGCATCTCACTGCTGTTTCTGTGCCAGTTGAAAACAAATCAGTACATACGTCAAAACCCTCAGGGGTTCCCAGCACGCCTCTGACTGCTCACAGAGTCTGGAAGGCCGTCTCTTCCCTGTGTGGTAACCTTGCAGCTCGCAGTGGCTCCCCGGCAGCATGACAATTTCTGGGGATTATCAGTGCCCGACACCTACCGACGGGTTTAGTTTGCAGGTACAATCAGTAGTGTGTGGGTGCTGGTCCACTTTGAATCTGGACATTTAGTGTTTGTTGAGTGCCTCCCCTCGCACTGCTGAGACCTGGGAGTTCAGGGACTTTCAGACAGGACTCTCTTTCTGAGGCACAAAACCAGGGCTTCCTAATCCTCCCACCTTGGTTCCCATTGCCTCCCAGGCCCCACATGCTGCTGTGGCCTCTGGTTTCAGCTCTCAGCGCTCAGATCCTCCCTTGAGTATTCTTGCGTGCATTTAGTGAACGCTTCTGGATGGCCTACTGTGCACAAAGCTGAGGATAAAGCAGAGCGCAAGATAGACCGCCACTGCTTTTCTTAGGTGTTTAGACGTCCGTAGAGATATGTTTCGGTCCTCTGTCCCTGACGCTGACCCTGCTGGGGCCTGTGTCAGCACAACACGGCTTGCCTGCTGTGGTAGCTTTACATTTGATCGGGGGATAGATTTTGACTGTTATTGATCTCGCCTCATGGTGGGCAGGAATCCTGTCTGGTTCAGCACACCATTGCTGGTTGGGAGTTGAGGCCTTCACCGCCATTCACAGACTCTCCAATCTCTTCACAGAAATCTCAAATCTGCTGGTGGCTACCAAGAAGGCTCAGGAGTGGCAGCCCGTCTACCCCATGAGCCAACTGAGTTTCGACCGGATCCTCAAGAAAGATATTATACAAGTAGGTCCTTGCTGCAGGTCTGTGCCCAGCACTGGTCCCACCTCCCCATAAGGAAGTGCCCGAGGGGCTTGGGAAGGTTGAACTCTGGGTTGGCAGATCCTGGTAGAAAAAAGAACAAAGAGACTTTCTGATCATGATCACATCCATTCAGTGAGTGGCTTACCATCTAATTGACTTCTCTGATACACCTTAAAGAAATGTCTTCCTTGGAAACGTGTATCTGTCAGGCTTTAGGGGGCTGGCTAGCAAGGCTCAGACCATTCTTAGAGTGTCCAGGGTGAGTGCCTTCTCTTCCTCCCCCCTCACATCTTGGGTCCAGCCCGGGAGCATTTACTTAGCAAACAGAGGCTGTGCTACCCTCAGGAGGTACAGTCCAGGGCGAAGGGAGACTCGTTTCTGTTTCAAGAGGATAATTACATGACCAAGAGCAAATTTCTAAGGAAAGGAAGCACAGCAGAACTCAAAAACGCTGGACACCTTTCCCAGCCATGGGAGGACCAGGATGGCTTCCCAGAGGGGGAGTGGCGTGGAGGGAGGCTGAAGGAAGACCCTGACAAGGGTTGTGTGGGGACACGTGGATTGCTACTGAATGCTGTCAGCCTGGTGTCAGTGACTTGGCCACTGACGTAAGTAACCTTTCTGGGGAAGAATGAGTATTCTGAAAGTATCTGACTTTCATGGGATGTTTGGGGAACACAGCTTCCCGTAAGCTCTGGAGGATTGCTTCGTGACTAGTGCAGCTTCGTGAGTGATGACAGGCCCCTGCCAGGTCAAGGCGGCTAGGCACATGTACCGCCATTCTCCTTTTGACAGATGACAAATGGTGGTATTTGTGTAAATTAATATTCCTGGTTAATGATTATATAGGATTCTGGGGGTCGGGGGCCAGGACCAAGTCTCTAGGGATTAGCCCTTGTTTTCTTTCTGCATTCACCAGGGGTCCTAGGGTAAGAGAACTGAATTGGAAATCTTTGTGGACTCATGTCACTAGTGGGGCAACACCTAAGTTTTACGAGACACATTTTTTGGCTTCCAAACACCCAGAATTTATACATCAGAATTATTGCCACTAAACTCAGAAGAAGCCTTAGAGGCGGGCGTACGAAGGGCCCTACACAGGTTGTCTCATTTACCCCTTAGACCCCCGTTTTGATGACGTCAGTTTTCCTTTTTAGTATCATTATGGACTTGTGGATTTGAACATTGATTGTTTTTATCCTTGACAGTTTGCCTTACCGATGCTTACGTTGTCCCCATTTTGTCCAGAAGTCACGAGGCCAGGTTGACACGTGCCCTTTGACCAGATCCTGGTCTGTTCCACCATAGCCTTTGGCTGTGTTCATTCCTTTATTCCCAGGCTGGTCTTAAGACATTCTTTCCATCCAAGACCTGAAGACAGGCACGTACAGAGGGACAATTGTACACACAGCACCAACCGCAGGGTTGGTTTAGCGATTCTTTCTGTCTTTAAGACATGTCCTTGGGAGACACAGACAAATGGCTTGTGTGAAAGTTGAGCCCTTGGGCCGTTCTTCTTGCTCACCCCGTTTTTCGCTGTTGCTGTTGGCCTTGATTCGGAGTGGGGGCCCTCCGTGCTGCCCTGTGTAAACATCGCCCTGACCTTCTGCTTCCTCCCTCAGGGTGAGCACCTCGGGAGAGGCACACGGACACACATTTACTCAGGGACCCTGCTGGATTACAAGGATGAGGAGGGGATTTCCGAAGAGAAGAGAATCAAAGTGATCCTCAAAGTCTTGGACCCCAGCCACAGGGACATTTCTCTGGCAAGTGTCTCCTCCTAATCTGACCCCTCTACCCTCCCATTTCCAGAAGCCCGAAGCCACAGTGGGCGTGGAAGACCCTTCATCTCTATCCGCGCCCTGTGCTCTTTAGATTAATCTCGTAGTCAGAATGGCTTCCACTCCAACCTTGGCCAGGTTACTGAGAGTGTGTTGGGGCTGAGGTGGGTGGAGCCGCCTCTCACACTTTCCCTGCCCATACCATGTGCTTCCCATTCCTGGAAGAGAGGCCTCCCGAGGCTGTGCCCCAGAGCCAGGACTCCAGTCCCTGAACTAGACCGGGGCTCTCATTTCACAGTCAGGACAGGTCACACCCCAAGGAGTAAAATGACCTGACCAGGATCCCACATACTAGTAAAAGGGTAAGGGCACGTCCTTGGTTTCTCTTATTCGAATTCAGTGCTGAATACTATTACTTCCAAGAGTGGGCAGAGTGCGGACAGTGAGCACGAGGGTCCAAAGGGACAGACACCACGTAGCTCCTCTCACCACCGTTAGGCGTTCTGGATAAGCCCTACATCTTGGCCAGTTACGCTCACAGGTAGAAATGTCAGTAGGGCAGCCACTGTCTGGAGCGCCGGGGCCTTAGGAGCAGGTTGGAGGGCTTGGGAGGTAGTGAGCTTTCCGGGTCTGTTGGTTTCCCACTCGGCCTAGCTCCTTTGGGATCAGCATGGTGGAGGCTGACCCTTGTCCCCTCTGTCCTGCTCTCCCACAGGCCTTCTTCGAGGCAGCCAGCATGATGAGACAGGTCTCCCACAAGCACATCGTGTACCTCTATGGCGTCTGTGTCCGAGATGTGGAGAGTAAGTGTGCTGTTTGCAGGGGTGCTGGGCCCTGGCTGGGAGCGTGCATGCTGCAGCTGGTCTGCAAAGATGGCTGCAGGTCCTTAGCTCCTTCAGGTTGCCTGGGCTTCTTGTCTGTCCTTTTGTAATTTGAGGAAGTGGAAGTGCTTAGCGAGTGACTTCCTTGAGTTCAGAGCAGACATGGGACTAACACCCACGTGTTTTTCACCCTGTCCTCCAAGCGTTTGCTTCTCACCAACTGCAACCTCACACTGCTAGACCTTGGGGTTGAGATGGGTAAAGCTGAGTCTTTACCCTAAGAGTCAGAGTAAAAGACTCTTTGGGTAGGCGAGGAAGCAGGTGAGTGTGGGCCTGAGCATTGTGGGGCTGGCCTGTGAGTGGCTTGGGGGAATTGTCTGCAGGGCAGCTCTGCCCGCCCCTGTGGTTGGCTGCTCAGAGGATGAACCTTTGGCCCACAGCTCGACATCTGCATTTTGCCTAAAGCTGCAGCGGACTGAGACGGGCAGCCTCTGCCATCTGTGTTTTCACAGCTGGGGAAACTCAGTCTTAAAGAACTGAGACTCAGAAGCAGAGATTGTTCAGGGTCATTCAGAGTGAACGTACAGAAGAGCTTGGGCTTGAACTCCAAGCCTTCTGTCCCTCCCACGGATATTGGCGTCCTCTCAGGCTGAGTACCTTATACTAACGGGGGCTTGGGAGCAGGTGAAGCACTGACCCAGAGAGACTCGAGCTTCCAGAGACAACCCTTTTTGTGCCTATAGATATCATGGTGGAAGAGTTTGTGGAGGGGGGACCCCTGGATCTCTTCATGCACCGGAAAAGTGATGCCCTCACCACACCATGGAAGTTCAAAGTTGCCAAACAGCTAGCCAGCGCCCTGAGTTACTTGGTAAGAAACATCCCCGTGTCCCTGGTGGTCCCCGCCAGAAGTAGTGTCCCAGGAGAGGGCAGCAGGAAGAGCATCCTAAGTGGGCTGAAGAGGCCCTGTCCTTGTGTTCGGTGGGACCCAGGGCTCGTTGGGGAAGCACAGTTGTGCCTGGGACCGAGGTACTTACTTATTCTCTGGGAAATTTGGTAATTTGGGGGCCGCGCTCTGTGCTCACACCTGAATCCCGGGCAGAGGGAAGTTTGCTGGGTCAGAGGACTGGCTGCTGACTGCAGTGTGTGGTGCAAGGAGGAAGAGTACAACGCTTACAGAATGCAGGAATAAAGCTGTGTCAGCAGTAGCTGACACTTTTGGGTGCTTTCCCGGGGCCAGCTTGTCAAGTATTTTACAGAGATTGTAGTTACTTGAATCCTCACAAAAGCCCTCTGAGGTGGGCTCCGCTGTTACCCTACTTTACTGCTGAGAAACAGAGGCTGCAGGCCGTAATGTGACGTGGCCGGGTCATGCCAGATAGCTAGCTAGTCGGGGGGAGAGCTGGGCTGACCAGGCGGGGCTCTCGCCAGGCAGCGAGGCCTGGTGGAGTGGTTCTGGGGACACAGGGTGGGAGGAAAGATGAGCATCATTGTTGGCAGGTCGGGTGAATGCTACCCTTGCTTCTCTGCAGGAGGATAAAGACCTGGTCCATGGAAACGTGTGCACGAAAAACCTGCTCCTGGCCCGTGAAGGCATCGACAGCGAGTACGGTCCATTCATCAAGCTCAGTGACCCCGGCATCCCCATCACTGTCCTGACCCGGCAAGGTGTGTGCCCTGCTCGCCGAGGGTCAGCCAGGGAGGCTCTGAGAGAGAGGGGTGGCCTCCCTGTGGGGAGGGAAGGATATGGTGCTTAGTAGGATTACTCCCCCCGGCCCTTACGGAGCTCACTGGGCAGCAGGAGAAGCAGAGAGTGTGCCGAAAGCACGACTGGTCCTTGTCCCGAAGGGGCTGTGAACAAGACTGTAGGGTGGTGCACAGGGATGCCTCTTGTGTCCCCCGGAGTCAACAGGGGCCTCCACTTTGTTCCCTTTAAAATCCACTCATTGGGGGAGGGGTTCGAGAGTCACCTATCTCCCCACCCTGAGCTATGCTGTGGTCTGTTTGCATGGTGAGTTGTAGAGCCAGGAAAGGTGCCTTGCACGGAGTAAGTCAAAGAGGGGTTACATTTGGAGAAGCGCCATGTTGGGAAGCACACTGCGACATCTGACTCCAGGACAGATGGAGAACGACTTCAGTGAAGTGAAAGACTGGGTTCCAGCTCTGGGCAGAGGGGACCAGTGTCGTCTGGATCTGCCCTGTCAGTGTGTGTGTGTGTGTGTGAGGGGGCACGGCACTGAGGCAAGGTGACGCAGGGTCATCGTCCAGGGCACTGCCTCCCCTGGAGCGAGCAGCAGGCCATCGGGTACTGGGAAGGAGGAAGGCAAAGGCCGCAAGGCCACGTGGGTCTTGAATGTCCAGCCCAAGCATGGTCTGCTCCCTAGTCTTCCCAAGAGTACTGGGAGACGCCTGTGCTCGTTGAAGGCATGCTTCCTGTCGAAGTGGCCAGGTTGCTGCTCAGACCCTTGGTCGGGAGCAGACACAGGCAGGTGCAGCTTGACCTCAGTCTCTCCCCCCTTGTTCTCTCTGGTCACGAAGGAAAGAAAGCTTGGCCCACCTTGCAGGCAGGTTGTGTGGGGCTTCTGAGGTCAGCACATACGTAAGTCCGCGTAGGTTGGCCTCTTCTCCCATCCTCTGTTTCCCTGGCTCTCCTTTTGTGGGGTGATGACCTCCACCCTGGGGTGCTTTGCTGTTTCTCAGACCAGGGCTTTGGAAGACTGCTGGGTGCTTGTGATACACAGACACATGTGCTGGCCCAGGGCAGCCCTGCTGGAACAGCCCCAGGGCTGAGGAGCCAGGAAGGGTGCCTGCTGAGCCCCCGAGACCTGTGCTGCCATGGTCCGAGCTGAGAGTTGCTGAATGCAAGTCTTCCCTTGGGCTGAAGGGTGTCCCCAGTGCACCCGGTGGCTCCAGCAGCAGCCCGGTCAATGCTCTGTTGTCTTCCAGAGTGCATAGAACGAATCCCGTGGATTGCGCCCGAGTGTGTTGAAGACTCCAAGAACCTGAGCGTGGCCGCTGACAAGTGGAGCTTCGGAACCACCCTGTGGGAAATCTGCTACAACGGCGAGATCCCCCTGAAAGACAAGACGCTGATTGAGGTGAGCCTCTGCTCTCTGGGGTTTGGGCTTTTGAGGAAGCCTGGCCCTGGGAAGAGGCGAGCACAGGCGTGCGTTGCCTCCGCAGTTTGGTGGCTGTGTGCCCCTGGCAGCGTTAGTTAATGTCCCCGAGCCTCCGTTTCATCCCCCACCAAGTGGAGCTGGAGAGCAGCTGTTTTGTAGGGTTTCTCTGGCAGTGGTGGCACAGCAGACCTCCTCAGTGAGTCATTGGGGTCGTAGTACTTAATTCGTTCTGAGTTGGCAGCATGTACTTCCCAGTGCCTCCTTCTCAGCAGAATGGACACAATGTTTATGATGTGCCCACTGTGTGTCATTCAGAGATCAAGGAGACCCACGCCTTGCCTTCTGGTAGTGGGATTAGGTTACAATAACAATAAGAAGGGGTTGGCAAGTAATAATGGAGACAAGTGCTCTGAGTGCTAGATGTAGCAGGGTATTTATCTCTCCAACCAGGGAACTGAGGTGCAGGTAGCCCCAGATACTCACCCAGGTCCGCTAGCCAGAAGCAGAGCAGGTGAGGAATGGACCACTCTCTTCCTTACCTATGGAGAAGTAGGGACGTAAACTCCTGAGTGGTCCGAGTAGCTGTCCAGGATTCAATTGACTGCGTGAGCTTTGTGTGCTTGAGGGGAAGGCATTGCTGTCGGGCAGGGGACTACTCTGTGCGAAGGTACATTTCTGTTGTGGGAAGCAGGCCATAGTATTGCTTGCCTGATTAGAGCAGGAGGGTTTGGAGAGCAGCAATGGGACCGGAGTGGTGAGGGTCAGAGTGACTGGGGCTAGATGGTTAAAGACTTCTGAGTCCCCGACTGCATGGGGGTGGTCAGAGAGCCAAGTGGGACTAGATTGTCCTGGCTGCAGGTCAGCATCTGGGGTGGGGAGGTGTGGGGACCAAGGAGAAGTGCTGGGCAGGTCATCTGGGGGGACGGGTGGGAGAGCTCAGAAGAGCGGGAGGAGGGTGCTGTGGTAGGAGGCACTGGAGAGGTAGCAGCGGTCCAACTTGCCAGTTACAGGTAGTGCTGGCGTGGCAGAGAGGAGTGAAGCTACAACCAAGGAGGAGACCATCGGGTCTATGAATCTGCTAATTTTCAGCTGAGCCTTTTGGGAAGCTCGTCTTATTTTTCAACTTCCTGAGGGAAACAAAGGGGAAGGATGGGGCTTTCTACTCCCGCACAGAGTTGAGGTTTCAGGGACTCACAGGGACAGCTCTACCCTGCTCTATGAGTCATCTGATGTGAGGTGCAGTGGACCAGCTGGCCATGGGTTTAGTTGGGTATTGAGGCAACAAAAGCCCAGTGTGTCTTCATAGTGTTGGTCAGGCGGTGTTTCTTGAGCACCCGCTGTGTGCCATGGGCAAGTATACAAGGATGGGGTAAGGAAGGGCCCAGAGAGGGTGTCTGTGGGCCAGAATCCACTCGGTGTTTGGTGACAACAATACCTGCCTCTCCGCCTTGGAGCAGGGCAGGGCAGGCACTGGACACAGGCAGGATGGCCCACAGGGGCCAGAGTCGGTGGGGGGAGGAGGGCAGGCCTTGGCAGCCAGCAGCTAGAGACCACAGTGATTCCACTGAACTCTTATTTTTCCTTTAAACTTTCATTTCATTTTAAAAGTGGCATCTAATTAGTTGTTTCTGGACTATAAAAAAATAGTGAGTGGAAGAAAATGTGGACGATAAATTATAAAAAGGAATTATCAGTCACCATCTTACCAACCTTGGTCACCGGTTACATTTGTGTTTGTTTTTTTAACTTTTATTGTTGTTAGTCTGTACAAGGGGGCTTCGAAAAGTTCATGGAAATATTGAATTAAAAGATAATAGAAAATTTCCACCAAATTTTTGTATACCATTGTATTTTTCAAACAATAGTGGGACCGTGCTAGGTAAATATCCCGAATGTTTTAATTTAATACTGTATTTACTCACAAGATTGAATAAATTCAACAAAGAAAAACCAAACTCACTGCCATTGAGCGATACCTACTTATGACTGAAAGTACTTTAGACTTTTTAAAGCAAATTTAATGTGTTCGTTGTTTCATTATACTTAACTAATTTTATATTTAGCACTGAGATTGTTTTGAAATGTCCAACGTTACATCTCATTCCTCAGGAAATCAATCTGTGTTTATATCTAGTGTGTTACTGGAGGGTTTACTAATGAGAATTAAGGAGCTAGAGGATGTGGGAAATCCAATGACTTTTTACACCAGTTGCCAAATTATATTCCAGCTTGATTCTGCCCATCCTCCTGGAGGGAGGATCACTTGGGCATTGGCGTTTCCCCAAGCTGGGCTCAGGCTAGGTAACTTGACACAGAGATGCTGGCAACTGAATGAAGGGTGGGTGGCCCCTTCTGACGTGGGGCTAAAAGGTGCCTGGGTATCACCTCTGGTTCCTTCCCTTCCAGAAAGAGCGATTCTACGAGAGCCGGTGCAGACCAGTGACCCCATCCTGCAAGGAGCTGGCCGACCTGATGACGCGCTGCATGAACTACGACCCCAGCCAGAGACCGTTCTTCCGAGCCATCATGAGAGACATTAACAAGCTTGAGGAGCAGAGTAAGAGGCTGCACAGGCCTTCAGGGCGGGAAGTGAGGCGGAGCGGGAGTGGCAACCGCTCACTTTGAACTTGTCTTCTTCCCTCCTCGTAGATCCAGACATTGTTTCAGAACGAAAACCAGCAACTGAAGTGGATCCCACACATTTTGAAAAGCGATTCCTAAAGCGGATCCGTGACTTGGGAGAGGCAAGTGTCTACCCAGGCAGACTGCTGACAGAGTGGTCCCGCTCCCCGTGCTCCCCGTCTCCCTCCCCAGCAGGCGTCTGACTGCATCTTCTTTGGATCACCTTACCAACCAGGGAGTTTGTCTTTTCCACTGAAGGTGCACAGTAACGACATGGGTAGACCTGCTTGTACACATGACTGGATATGTATTCGGGCATTGGTCCCCTTCCCCCAAGACTTGATTTTTCCTTGAGGGGTGGAAGAGAGTGGAAAGATAGATAAGATTAGATTAGATACATGAAGATAGAAAAGACTGTCTCCGACCTTCTTGGACACACCCGCCCTGGGGGGTAGATTTACTCAGAGTGTGCCAAAAGAGCAGACCAACTGTTCCGTTGGAGCGGAGTTTCCCCACAGTTCCAGCTCCTGGGATTTGCATCTTCATACGGACGTCCTGCAGTTGACATCATGAAGCAAAGACTGCATCCTCTCCGTGCATCTGCAGGGGCCAGGCCTCTGCATTTCCACAAGCAGGAATGCCCTCAGTGTCTCGTGTTTCACTACCGCCCACCTGCCCCCCGCAGGCTCTGTCCCTCCTGTGCATTCTGAGCAGGGTCAGGAGCCGGAATCTGGAGTTTGGTGACCCAACTCCATGCCCAGTGCTCTCTTCATCGACTCTGTGGGGCCTCTCCTGCGGCCAAGATCCAGGCCTGTCAGGGCAGGCGACAGTCGTTCTCGGGGTCCAGATAAAACCTCCTTTTCCTTTAAGGTTTCATTTCCAGCCCCATGGAAACTGGGATGGATCTGGTACTTCAGCAGTCCCTTTGTGTTTCCTTGTGGTAGCTCGTGGTAGAGGGGGTGGTGTGTGAGGACAGGACTAGCCTGAGGGGACTGGGCTGGGGGGGCAGAGCCTGGGAAGAGCCCTCGGTCTAAGGCAGACTGTACTGGATAAGCCCTTGCCTGCTCTGATGAACACATGCTGCTTTCCTTTCAGGGCCACTTCGGGAAGGTTGAGCTCTGCAGGTATGACCCCGAGGGGGACAATACTGGAGAGCAGGTGGCTGTCAAATCCCTGAAGCCCGAGAGTGGAGGCAACCACATTGCTGACCTAAAGAAAGAAATTGAAATCTTAAGGAACCTCTACCATGAGAACATCGTGAAGTACAAAGGCATCTGCACAGAAGACGGTAGGCTTGCAAAGCGCCTTTGCATGTGGAGGCCAGCTGACCTTCGGGTCTTATCTGGGCTACGTGGCAGCACCAGCTGACAGCCCCAGGGGCTCTCGGGGCTTTGAGATGGGAAACCGCCCCCAAACCACCTGAACCCACTATGTGAAGTCGGTCCCAACTCATGGTGCCCCGCACAGAGTTTCCAAAAGAGCTCTACAGGAGCAGGCAGCCTCAACTTTCTCCCCTGGAGGGTGTGAACTGCTGCTCTTGTGGTTGGCAGCCCAAAGCGTACCCAACAGCACCACAAAGCGGTTCACCTTCCTTCTAGCCCTGGGCTCCAGCGTCGTCTGCCCGGGTGTCTGTCCCCCCACCCCACAGGGCTCCGTCCTCATTCTTCTAGACATTCATGCTTCTGCCACATGAAACAGATTTCCACCCCGACACACGTGCACCTGCCTGCCTTCCCTGGCTCGCCCCAGCCAGCACTGGCTTTTTATATCTTACTACATAGGCTATTTGCATTTCTAATTGTCTAAATCAAGGTGGCAAGTAGTGTTTACTAATAGGTATATCAACTTGCAAGCCAGCACACCACTCATGAGCTTAAAAATCAGTAGAGAAATTATGTGGCTTATAATTCAAAATACCATTTGTTTACTGGTTCACAGCTCACAGATAAAAACCAACAAAAATCCATTCCCCAAAATGTGGGAATTACTCAAAATAGCCCCTTCCCCATGTGTCAGCTTCCTCTGACAAGAGCTGCCCATGGAGCACTTTTCTCTCTCTAACACCTGCCATTTAGAGCCGGGTCCGAACTCACAGGTGAAAGGACATTCTCCTGGACCCACTGCGCATCCAGAGTCTTACCTCCACTTGTTCAGGATGCCAGCAGTGTGAGCTCAAGGCCCCCTCCAGGCTCCCTGACTTTCACCTACTAACTCTCACTGCTGCTTCGGGTTTGATAACTCACTGGAATAACTCACGAAACTCGTAGAAGATAATTCTGATTACACAGTTACTGTAACAAAAGGATGTAAATCAGGATGAGCACAAAGAAACAGCTCACAAAACTCAGAGTACACTTCTGATTACAGATTCACTATAGCAAAGACTGCAAATAAGCATGAGCATAAAGACGAGAGGAATGAGGTGGGTTCTGGAAGGGCTCCCAGCACAGAGCCCCCATGTGCTGAGAAAAGAGACGCTTACCCTCTCACATACATCAGTGTCTTTCACCAACCCGGAAGCTCATTGGGACTTCCGGCTTCCAAGCCTTTATTGGCTTGATTGCATCGGCATGATAGGGGCCACAGTGCGTATGCATGAGTGAATCATGCACCCCTCTATCCCTGATTATCAGCTGATACCAAGCCACAGGTGATCCTTCTGGCTTGGCCTGCCTCCCACTCTTACCTCACATCGGCCGATGTAGTCTTTAGGCCCAGACAACAAAAGATACCTCAGTCACTCAGTGAACTCCACGGGCCATCTCTCAGGAACCAGAGACAAAGGGCAGGCTGTCCTCTGACTGGTGACTCATCCCCTCTTGGTAGATGTGCAGATGTTCACTGCACAGGCTCCTGAGCTCGGGGGCACAAGAGGTCAAGTTGCTACCTGTGGTCACGGGGGTACAGCTGAAATCCTTCCGGTCCTTGGTCTCTAGGTCCTTGCCCTTGACTTTCCCACAGACCATCATTTGACCACTCATATTTACGGGTGTTTTTCTAAACAGGAGGAAACGGTATTAAGCTCATCATGGAATTTCTGCCATCTGGAAGCCTTAAGGAGTATCTTCCCAAGAATAAGAACAAAATCAACCTTAAACAGCAGCTAAAATATGCTGTGCAGATTTGCAAGGTAACAGCATGTTAGAAATTTAAAATTCAGCACTCTGCCCTGGGCAATTGTTTAGTAATTAGACTATAAATAGGAAATTATCTAATAATAGCCTGAGTTTATTTTGCTCTGTGTTATCTGGGTGGCAAATTAGTCTGTTTTGGGAATGAACCTCCTCCAGTGATCAGCAATACATAAACGGTTCTTTAACTTTTAAAATTCGAAGTGGAAGACACAAAATGCAATCTCAAATAACTCTTAGCCATGCTGCGCTCTGTTTCTGTTCCTTAGGGGATGGACTACCTGGGTTCCCGCCAGTATGTGCACCGGGATTTAGCGGCAAGAAATGTCCTTGTTGAGAGTGAGCACCAAGTGAAGATCGGAGACTTTGGTTTGACCAAAGCAATAGAAACTGACAAGGAGTACTACACGGTCAAGGATGATCGGGACAGCCCCGTGTTTTGGTAACTGAGTCATTTGGCGTTTGGTTTCATCCAGGCCTGTAGGCTTTGCCCTGCCTCCGTGGGCCTTTCCTCCGTATGTTAATGGGCTCACGCATACCAATTGTGCGGGGACCCAGGGTCGTGGGGAGTCGAACCGACTGACTCAGCACCAAACCAACAACAACCTGTGCTCATGTCTGTCCTCCTTTGGGCTTAAATCAAGGCTGGAGAGAATTTAGAGCTTTTAGAATCTGTCAATATTTGCTGTCTCTCTGAAAGAAGCCACACAGAAATAAATGTGAGTTTCACGTGAGACCATTCTACAAAGAATCCAGTCGCCACCAGGGCTCCCTGCGTCTCTCTGACACAGCCTCTAAACTTGCTGGAGGTGGAGTAGACCTCCTGAAAGCACATCTGGGCGGGGAGGCCTGGCCTTCAGAGAGGGTGAGAACAAGGCCATGAAGCGGGCACTAAGCAGGTACCGGGAGAGCCTAGGCAAAGCAGAGCAAAATCCATGGGAAGCCTGGCAGCCTTCTGACGCCCCAGAGCCATCCTGGTGAGGCTACCAGCTCTCAGCCTGGAACACTGAATGGGCAAGTATTCGGCTACCCGCGTTTCCATTCCACATCCTGTAAAACGGACCAGTAGCCCCAGGATGTAGCCTGTATAGGCTCATCCCTGAAGCGGAAGCCTTCATTGGTCAGACAAAACCAAGAAGACTTAAATTCATGGCAAAGTTCCACTACCTGTCAATTCCATTTTTGCATGAACTTTAAAAAATTACCTCATATGTATATCAAAGCCCTGCTTTCTGCCATGAGTGGGACTAAAAGACTGAATTGAGAGTTCAGAGAGCACGGTGGCCAATACCACGGGTAGTCTTAGTTTTCTGGGTGAAGTCCGAGCGATTCATAGGCATTTGCTAAGATGGTTGAAGAAGGTATAGTCGATTAATGTGAATGGGCAGGAGTGGCTCAAGGGGCAGGTGCGGATCCTGCAGCGGGGAGTCCTTGGGGAGGCAGCTCACGGGGAGCACTCGACTGTACTAAGGAGCAAGAGCACTGGCACGCCATTGGAGGTTTAAGTTTGGGGATTTGGGAACAGGGGGGAACACGATTGGACCTCAAGTCCAGTAAGGCTGCTCCACCAATCCATGGTGGAGCCAGTCATGGTGATAATGCTTACTATAGGATAGTGACAGTGGGGTGCACGGGAAGCAAGCAGTGTGGATATGGGTGTGCCTGGTCTCTGGCTTGGGCAACTGAGGATCAGTTGCTGAACTAGGCGACGCCCTGAGAAGACAGCACAGTGCTGTTGTCTCGTGAGCCTGCAGACAGCTGCAGCCTGGGAGTTACCTTCCTAGTACTCACCCCCCCCTCGCCCCTGGTCCCGCCCCCCCCAGTGAGAGAGAGAAATGAATGATAGCTAATACACTTAGAATCCTTGACTAGGAAACTCTGAGAACAAAGATGGGGTTCCTAAGTGACTGAAGTCCGTTGGAACAGCCTTCCCAGGAATTGAAATTCCCTGTTGTGCTTTCTTCCAGGTATGCTCCAGAATGTTTAATTCAGTGTAAATTTTACATCGCCTCTGACGTCTGGTCCTTCGGCGTGACCCTGCACGAGCTGCTGACGTACTGTGACTCGGACTCCAGTCCCATGGCGGTGAGCGCTGCTCGTCTCCCAGGGGGGACCTAGCACCTGCGTGAACGTAGCCCCACGTCTGGTCCTTAGAAGCTTTGTTTGCAGATGAGACCGCCCCGTATATTTGTATAGATGGGTAAAGTATCACTTTCCCACCCACTTTGGTTAGTTGCTGACACTCTGGGGTGTCACAGGTTTGACTTCCAAGGACCTTGCCTGCATGAAGACTGGTTACAGTTCACGTGAGCACTAACCGTGACGTGAGGGACTATTGGGTCGGGGCTAGCCTGTGCTTTGTTTATTCCCAGCCCTGGTCATTTTTCACAGGAACAGGCTCTTTGAGGAGGAGTGGGAGGCAGCATCTGAGAAGTTCATTAACCCTTGAGAGCTAAGGACGTTGGTCTTTCAGTGACTAAAGAGGAAAATGTTCTTTATTATTTGACTTTCCTGTTAGCTCTAATCATTTCCCCTAAATCCTAGCATATTTATATGAGTATGCTCAAAATAAAGCATTTTGTTTGGCTTCACTTTCAGTTGTTCCTGAAAATGATCGGCCCAACTCACGGCCAGATGACTGTAACGAGACTTGTGAATACATTGAAAGAAGGAAAACGTCTGCCGTGCCCACCGAACTGCCCAGATCAGGTATTTATGGCTCACCTGGCAGTAACCACACCGCCTATGTTATGGTGTCACGGCTTGAGCTGGCCAGTGAGGGGCGAAGAGGGAAGAGGGGCAGGACATTCCTTTAACACAGTATTCTGAAGTTGAATTTCAGATGTTTGAGAAATCAACTCAGGGGCAGAGAGCAGCCACACATTATGTTCATACCAAGGATTCCCCTCCAAGAGTAGGCTGATTTTAGTGTTTATCAGCTCCTTTACCCTACAGGAGCATGTTTGGGAGTCGTCTCATTGTGACTAATGTGACTGCGTTTTGTTATGTGTGCAAGTTGTCGATCTGTAACATCCAGTTCGGTTTTTTGGTGCTCACGTGAATTGAGGGCTCACTTCGACAACCCGTGTTCCAAAGTGAATTGAGCCTTTGATAAGATTGAATTCGAGACGCTGTCAAGCGTACAAGCTGAGTAAGTCAAAGGAGGCAACGAGTCTGGAAATTTGAGAGCCTGACCTGCGATTTCACTTACCCCTTACTGTAGTTTCCAGTGATACCTTGGATCTTCCCACAGGTTAATCAGCCTTCAGGTGTGTGGGCAGATATTCATGTGCTACACTTAAAAACTGGGCGGCCCAGTCCCTGGAGGACACTGCTTGGCAGAGGGTCCGTGTGAAACAGAAAGACCCCATCAAGGTGGGGATGGCACAGTGGCTGCAACAGTGCACTCCAGGACGTCACAGGGCCGGGCAGTGGTCCCGCCTTATCCCTGGGCCGCCACAAGGTGGCACAACCCAGCAGCATCTGCCAATGGCAATAACTGTGTTGCACTTTTTGTATTTGAAAGCATTCAAGTAATTCCTACTCTTTAGTCAGTTTACTTATCAAGGAAGTTACTCACATTACCACAAATTATTTTCTTAACCTTGCTGTTCTATGATTTTTTTAAAAGCTCCCAAATCCACCATTTGTACTGTTATCATTTTTCTTTCTTCCCTTTTCCAGGTTTATCAGCTGATGAGGAAATGCTGGGAATTCCAGCCATCCAGTCGGACAACCTTTCAGAACCTTATTGAAGGATTTGAAGCACTTTTAAAACAGGAAGCATGAATAGCATTCACATTTGTTTATTGAGGTCCGCATGTCCCGTCCTCCCCACTCTCCGCGCCCCACCCCCCCAAACACACACGACATTTAAAGAAAAGGGGGGGGGGGACGACGACATTTGTTTGGTTTACAAACTCAACAAAGACATGAGTGTGTGTCCATTAGAAAAAGGGCAGTGTGGTGCTTACTGTGCGAAAAGCCTGCCCCTCGAAATTTGGCCCCAAGTACTTCGTGGAAAGTGACAGCTGAAATACTAGCAAGCGCTTCAGCACGCCTCCATTCAGAAGGAACGCGTGACCGGTGCATGTGGCAGTTCACCGTCGCCCAGTCACCTAACCAAATGGGAGTTGTGGCTCCCTCCCAAAGAGGGCTCTGACCAAAACAGTGTCTCAGAATGCTTGTCTTTCCCCAGCTGCCAGGTGATCGGAAATGTTTTTCTGGTACATCACATTCAAGCCAGAGATTGATAGACTTAGCTGGTACTCTCACTGCGTCATCCAGTTTCAGCATCTGTACGGTGACAGACGAAGCATTCTTGAAATACTAGACACCAGTTAGCATATTACTGTTTCTATACCCAGACGAGTGTATCCCTGCCACCAGTAGGACTTAAACTTTGAAGTGTTTCTCCAGTGGCTTAGCTCCTGCCCGCCTGGGTGACTCACGGTACCCATTTCTGAGAAAACTGTTCTTTCCCACCAGGGGACAGCTGTGGAATAGACACTGTGCTGCATGACATGAATTTCTGAGATCTAAGCCTATGCCCGAGCTTTCCTAACCCAGATCCCTTTTATCTGGACTGATCCCGGAACCCGGATGCTCTTGTACAGGCTCTGAAGAAATGCCAGTGCGTGTGCTTTCACAGCTCTGCTGGATGCTGTCTGCAGCCCGCCAGAACGTAGACCTTGTCTGCTGCACTGTTCTTGGAGTATTTCAAAACATACCTTCCATCTAATAAGACTGGATTGCTATTTTGACCATCACCCTAGGACACAAAACTTGAAAGTAAAGGCCCTGCTGGAAGCACTGTAGGGTCAGGAGCCAAAAAACAACTTTTGTGGTTAGCTAGGGAAATCGTAAGTGGTTAGTTTCTGATTCAACGTGAACCATACAGATCTTGATGACCAAGAGCCGTAAAAACCTGCTGTTAATGCTGTCTAGGTCTGCTCAGTGTGACCACTTCTCCCCTTCAGCCTGGAAGAGTTGTCCGACTGGATTCAATGACAGCCGCCACGTAAGCTTTTTTGATAACCCTGCCCCACCAAGGTCTCTGTTTATGTCAATCCTGTGGCCACTCTAGATGCACTTTGTTTACTCTTTATACAAATAAATATACTAAAGACTTCACATGCGTACGCTTTTTAATATCAAGGTTCCACTTTTCAGAGCATTTCAGGCAGTCCCTTACATAGAAAACCTAACAGTTTTCGACTTGGAGGGTTGGTGAGGGTCCTTATTACTGACACCCCTTCCTTGGATTGCCCTTGTGTCATGCCCACTGCGAAGGGGGCATAGGCTGGCGAGTTGTAACCCCATGTTTCTCCACCTCAGTTCTTTTAGCCTCTTCCTGCTTGCATTTTACATCTCCAATTTAAGACATCCTCTTTCCTCTGTCCCCGTTTTCCGTACGGTGGAGGTGGGACAGCACTGACCGGGTCTAAAGCATGGGGACACGAGTCCAGCAGCCCTCCTGCAGGAGGATCCAGTAGTGCCTGACCCTGAACAGATAGCTATAGGGAGTATGCGTCTTAGGAACTGTTTGAGTTTCATCTTCTACGTGTTACTTTCCAACAGTAGTTAGTATGTATTATCAACTTAGAGCAGATACAATTCCTGACAAAGCATACCACGTACGCATCCATTCGAGACCCCGTGACTCATACAGGACAGACACTTTAACTCATGGTCCCAATAAGCCTCCCAATGCTCTGATTTCAGGAAGACCAGGCTCTTTGAGATGCCACACACCGTGCCCCCGATCATAGTCTCATAACAAACGTAGACATTTCTGGGTGGCAAAGCGTTTCTCATGCATTTTAATACAAAGGGCTTTACAAGAGAGTGATGTCAAAAGCCATATGCAATAAGGATAGGGAGTTCCTTCCAATATAAGTTGGTTGAATAGCTGGTAGTTTTTTCAGCCTGACACTACAATGGGCAAGAGCACAGAGTGAGGTCTAGCATCGTCGTCCGTGGTTAAGACTCCTCTGGGAATGCCAGTAGTGACTGCTTCACTCGATTGTGGAAGTGGGGCCTGTATTGATCAGCTGGGCTCTGCACTAGGGATTAGACGATTTGTCTCCACTGTGCAGTGAGGCACAGTAGCCTGCCATCCTCACCACTTCAAAGTCTGACGTGGGGTGGAGGGTCCAGGAATTGAGAATCCGTGCTACTGGAGAGGCGGCTGGGAGGGGAAGGGTCACACTGCTCTTCCCTAAAGGACCACAGAGTAAATATTTTAGGCTTAGCAGGTCACGTGGCCAGTCGCAACTCAACTCTGCCATTCAACTAGCACAGATGTAGCCACAGGTAATAAGTACATGAAAGAGAGTGGCTGTGTTCCCCAAATAACTCATTTATGGACATGGAAATTTGAATTTCATATTTTCATGCCATAAATATCCCCCCTCAGCCCCCCATCATTTATAAATGTAAACATCGCTCTTCCCTCACCGACAGCACGGACATCCGTAACTGAGGTGGCGCCCGCGGCACGATGTGCTGACCCTGTGCTTTTCTTGCGTGACCGGTGTTCATCACAAGAAGGGAAAAATGGGACATAACCGGGAGCAAACTCACTGCCATCGTACAGACTGCCTCATCTGGCTCCCTGGGGGCCACTGGGGGCCTCCAGCCGCTGGCCTTTGGTTTAGCAGCTGTGCAGGCTCCCGCGGAGTACTGGGCCAGCTCTCGAGTGTCTGTCGAGTGGTGTGTACCTTCGACATCACGCTCCGCGTGGGTCCAGTTCTGCGCTGCGTGGCTGGCATGTGGGCGGTCATTCGTCTGCCTGGAGGGCATCTCCGACGTCACCGTCCCTGCATGTGGTACTTGCACTCTGTGCCGCTCTAGAAGTTCTACAAATCGACACACTAGGTTATTTCTGGGGGAGCAACTTGAAATGCACATTGGCTCGTAGGAAACTCATTCTTCTAAGGCTCGGGAAACATGCCCGTTTCCCGTTTATTGCTTCAAGCATTTTCATGTATGTCAGAACTATTCCCAGTCCTCAAGCAGGGACTGTTGACCCATGGTTAATTTCATCCACGGACTATACGTTAATATCACCTTCGGGTGCATCTAACTAGTGGAAAAGGCGCTCAATGGCTCTCTTATTGCTGAGCTGTTTTTCATGTAGCAATTCTGCCTGCTGCACAACACAGCGCCTATGGGCCACAAGCCCGTCGGTCAAGGATATGGCTAGTCTGAAGGACGTTAAGGCAGCGATGACGAGCAGAGGGCCGCCGGGGCCGCCTCAGTACACGCGCTTCTTCTTCAGGTAGGTCTCCACGTAACTGGCGCCGGCGGCGGCGGGCGAGGGCTGATCCGCCAGCTCCCCGGGACCGCCCTCCGGGGCAGAGAGCAGAGAGGACAGGCTTCGCTTCTCGTTTCTCAAAGATGAGCCCTACGAGCAAGCACAAGCGTATTGAAATCAGTTGGAATCGGCTTATTAGCTCAGGACGTGTAGTGGAAAAGCAACTGCACTTCTGATCCGGGGCAAATAAACAGGGTACCTCTGAGAACCTTACCAAAATCCCCAGGCACGTCTTTGAACAGAACAAAAGCCTTCTAGCTGCCGCCCTCCACCCCCCGCCCCCCACACACACACCGTGGAGCATTTGCGGAACATAGACCGGCTCCGGGGGGGGGCCCCGCGACACACATTTTGGGGACGGAGGGCGCCAGCGAGGTGCGTTCCTCCCCCCGACCCCCCAAGCAAAACCTCTCCTAGCCACGTGCTGACACCGCTGGGCACCGGCTAAAAACCGGGACGGTGCAGCAACAGGGTGTCAGGTCTGCCCTCATCATAAAGGAATAAAGCAGGTGAGAAACCAACAGGATGCCAGGCAAAATATCCACGATGGTGTGCTCGACGAGCCACGAGGACTCCGGGTCTGCTCTGCAGGATAGCCACGGGGGGCTCCCGGGCCCCAGGTCCAGCGGTTCTGATCCCAAAAGGATTGTGAACAGGAGGGACAAACGTCCTCAACAACTGGTCACAGTGCCCAGCAGGGTAAGTTAGGTGGGGCAGCCTAGCCCATCATCACTTTTACCTTTTGCGAACCCTAGGGCCAGCTCTAGATAATTAAGTAATTTAATACAATTGATAAACAGATTGATAGATAACTTCCAGGAACATAGAAGAATCTTCTCACATGACAGCTCCACAACAGTTTGATTTTGAACTGGCTCGTGTCCCAAGCTGAACCTTCAGTGGGGCAGGGGATGACTGTCACTTACCTGCTTGTAGATTAAACACTCACTCTTCAGTCTTCCATGTGAAGAAGAGGGAGGCAGAAACCCCAAGCAGGGCAAATCTACTTCATGGTTTGGTCATGTGTGTATGTAACCCCCAACTCAAAAAACCACTGTCAACTCATGGCCACCCTCAGGTCGAGGTGGCGGTGCCCCAGTGGTTTTTGGGGACTCAATTGTATTACCTACGGAGCGGCTGGTAGCTTTGGCAATAGTTGTTTTTAAGCGGATCTAAATTTTTCTTGTCTCCCTTTATTGGTTTGGTTGGGGAACAAGTCTTCAAGGTTTTTTGGTTTTGTCTTTGAGAATATACACAGCATCCTGTACAACCCACTCAAGTTTCTTCATACATAATTCAGATACACCATTTACATTCTCCCAAGTTGTACACCTATTCTCACCATCCTTTTCCAAGACATTTTGTTAACAGAAGCTCGCTGACATGCGTCCCTATCTTGCCTTTCCAGTTGCTGCTGTCAATGTGGTACCCTGTAGATACACCTCAGGAACGCAGTGCTCAAAGAAGGCATGTGGACTAAGCTCAACCAGTTTCATTTTGAAGAGGATTTCAGGGCATTTGCTTGCCTTAAGGTTTATCTCAGGGCAATAGTTCCTGGGCTCACCCATCTTCCATGATTCCAGAAAGTCTGGATTCTCAGAGTTGGAAATTCTGTTCTACATTTTCTCTCATTTGATCAGCACTCTTGGAGAGCCCATCTGTTGGTACTTTAGTTTGGTGTGGCCGACTATTAGGGCTAAAGTAACACCCTTCACCTCACATGTAAAGGATTATGTCACGAAATGTAATGCTGATGAGCAAACAATCTCACTGGGACACTCTTCCTAGTAATAAGATAGAGCTGAGGTCGGTTCTGGTATAACTGAGCTGGGAGGAGTGTAGATGAAACAAGACTAGCCATGTGTTGGTAACTGAAGTTGGGTTGATAGGTACAAGGGATTGATACACCATCATCTTAAAACTATTTTTTTACATATCGTTTTAGTGGTCTATACTTCACATACGATTTAGTTGTTCAGGGATATTAACAGTTGTGCAATCATCACCCCAATTTCAGAGCATTTTCTTCTCATACTTCGTTAGCTCCTCCTGTCCCCACAACTCCCCCTTCCATGCCCGTTGCTAAGTGTCATCGAATCGGTTCCAGCCCATAGCAACCTTCTGCACAACAGAACAAAACAATGTCTGGGAAACTTGGAAGCGTGTCTATGGCCTTATTGTTACACTCACAACCACAGGCCTGGAAAACTGGCCCCACTTAGAGAAAAATCTCCATTATTGTGAGACGGAAGTGTCGTCCAATACACATTCTCCAGCCCAAAAGAGCCCCCATGATAACCATCCGTAAAGATGCTGCCATAGAAGAGGTTTCATACCTGCATCTGGCCATTCACTGTATGCCTGAAGGTTATCTGTCGTTAGGAGCAAACGGTTCAACTGCTGTCCCACCCTAACGAGTAACTCCCTTCTACGTCTCCTTCTGAAACAAATCATAGATTGTTCCCTTGGGGAGGGCTCAGCGGGGCATACGGTTTGACCACTGACTCATTCTATTACCCGCTTATGTATTACCCACTCACTCTGTTACATGCTCACTATAATACATATATGCCTTTTGAAAGATTTGCAATCCCTACAATTATAGACACCCATTGGGAAATACATTCACTCCCTTGGTCCTGACATAGGGACAAAGAGCCCCTGGTGCCCTGCTCATTCTGACTATATTACACTCAAGCAAAACCACTCCTAAGGACCCTTTTTGACTGTAGGGGAGTCGGTACCCTGAGAATTGTCTGGTCCTGCACCATCCTCACAGTTGTTCCTATGTGTGAGCTCTTAGGTAATTTTTAATCCAACTACTGTCTCTATAGGTTTACCTATCCTGGGTTTATATAGAAAATCATACAAAACACAAGCAGGAAACAAAACGAAAACCTCAACCGAACAGAAAATATTAAAAACGTAAACTGCTTTAAAATAGGTCAAAAGGCAGATCCAATGATAGGGCGTTAACATTTAAACCTAGTTACGTGTCAGTCATAATCGACTTTATGTTCTCTGTCTGATAGCAACAAGGCTAGTCACATCCTGGACTATGTTCAGAGGGGATCAGGGCAAGAACATGTGGGAAGCCTGTTCATGGATCTGGGGCTTTCCACTGTCCATAGCCATCTGTAAACTGGGTGTTCATAGTTTAAACTCAGATACCATTCCCTCCTTCAGATTTGGATTTTATTATGACAATCCTTGAATCACACAGATTGTGTGCTTCTTCCATGTGGATTTAGTTGATGCCTCACTTTTATGGCTCTTTGTTTGAAGACAACCCTTTAAGACCCCAGATGCTATTCTTTCTCCTAGCTGGGCACCATCTGGTTTCTTTACCACACTTTGGTACAACACCCATATCTTTAGTGAGCTCTTCATGAGGGCGAGTATTGGGTAGGGCCATGTCATAAGAATTAATTGTTCTTAGATTGAGGCTAGAATTAAGAGTGTACCCCACGTCCCTTCATATAGCTATGCTGTTTATACATGAACCAGAGGGCTCACTTTAGTGACAGCATTATCATTTTATGATAGTGAACATTATAAATCATCCCCCTGGGGCATAAGGTAATTCTATGAACAGTGTCATTAATTTAGCCAATGACAGAGAATGGAAAACACTGTTGACAAAAGGAAATTATACAAGTATAGGCTGGTTTCAGACAGCAATACATGAACTGTTGGCTCGTACAGATTAAACTCTCCAGTACACACTATTTTCTCAATTGATGTGGGCTGATGTGATGACAGGGCAACCCTTTCAGTAACACTGACAAGAATGAGCCATGCCTATCAGACCAGTAGCTGCCAAAAGAAGGCAAGGAAGGCTCGAGAATCACATTCACATCTTAAATCACTTTCCCAGAGGAGACCCCACCTCCGCTGGCGTCTGCTCCTCAAGAGGAGTGGAGAGGGAGACCACTCGGTTGCTGCCACGCAACATTGTGCTAAGGATGCCCCAAATGAACAGACTGCAGGAATGATGAGCAAACCTGAAAATTCAAGGCAAGCTGTGGGGAGGGAGCCTGCATGTCTTGGAGAAGATTGTTGCAATGCCATTAGTGGGTGAAGTAGGTGGTGCAACCGACCTCCCATCTCGGGGGAAAAAACAACAAAAAAACCCCACATTCAACAATGCTTCTAGAGAACCTCAGGTAGTGTTCCTAACTGGACACTTTTGACCTAGTTTCTATCTAGCCCTTGGGGACCCAGGCTGTGTGCTCTGACTTTGGACTGCATCCGTGTAAGTGCATAACGCCCTTCATAGGCCACGTCAGGATTCTATGTGGAACCCCACTAAGTGAACTGCGACTTACCTCACACTCGCCTGAAGTAGATTTCAGGGACAGACATCCTCCATTGGACGTAAGCCCCAAAGGCCCCAGTGTGAAAAGCAGCAGGTAACTGCTATCCCAAGGTCATGGGATTGGTGGTCGTTGGACATTGTTTCCAATCTCTTGCTTTGGGGGTGGCCTAGGACTACCATTCTCCTTTTTCTGAAGCATTCCAACAGAAAACCTTGGTTCCCATTTCCCACGAGAGCCAGTATCTAGAGAAGGGCTCCCTGCTGCACCCCCACCCACCGCCCGACTTTGGCTGGAGCCTGCTGGTCCCACGTCCACGTCTCCCATCATCAGCCCTCTTTATTCTTCCATTAGTCTCGGCTGGTCTGCTGCTCATAATTACTGTGCGCTGGCCCCAAAGCACTCAAACTGCCAGCCCCTAACTGTGAGAAAGAACATCGTTCTTACTGACTTCAATATAGCCCCAGTATTGCATTCCACGAGTGAGATTTGTTTCAAAGATTAAGAGACACACACAGTGACCTCTAGCATCTGCTCTCACTTGCCCTCGCTTCCCGTCTCGGGGTCTTCCTGCTCTGGAGTAGTCCGGGCAGTCAGATCTGAGAGTCAACCAGCGATGCCACCTGCATTTCTCCTCCCAGACCCCTCAGCAGCCAGGTGTGACACTTATTAGCACCTTTCATTCAAAGGACTTCCCAGTGGTGCGACACTATCGACAGTCAGAAGCCACTGAGAGACGATGACATCACTGAGCAGCACAGGAAGCAGCTGTTT